GGCACAATGGGCAGTTCAAAGTGCTTTACATGCTAAAATCACAGAAGCCAAAATAAAAACATAAAAGCATTTTTTAAAAATTACGATAATGTAAGAGCGTATGTAAAATAGATTCTGGTTTTATATAAAAAAATTTCAGCCTGGAGTTTAACATTGTCAAAGTACAGTAAGAGTAAGGCCTGTTTCACTTCTCCAGGAAGACTGGTACAGATTTTAGAAGCAAAAAAACAGAAGCGCAGCTTCACCCTGTTTGGTCCTGACTCTGGGTACCAGCCAGGGACCAGGGCCTGAGGTTCTCGGAGTCCGAGCTGGTTCATATGGCTCTAGGATGTTTGGGATGTATTGTGGGATGTACATGAACTTGTACACAAGCAGAAATGTTTTAAAGTCTGACAGGAAGCCACTGTGAACAAGGCTAATTTTTATTCAATAATATTAGTCATTTCCAAGATAAGTACTATGACTTACATGTACTTAAACTTGCCAAGATCTACAAGCGATATTAATATTTGTTTTATGGCACTTCCTATCATGTGTTACGCAGTCTTAAAGTGTGAGTAAAATTCTCTCTTCAAATGTGGGGAAACTAAGTAGTCAGACAGGTCATACTGACTTTGGTCCCATGTCTTGAGAGTCTTGTGTTGAATTGCATTAGAGCAGGTAGCGGCATGTCTGTAGTGTGTAATAGTGATACCATTTGGATAGATGAACTAATGTTTCGCATAGTAACTCAGCGTCTGTGTGTCATATCAAAACTATCATTTCAAGGACCATGTCAAATTTTCCTCCTTTCGGGCTGTGAGCAATCAGCTATGGATAATCTCTCTTAGACAAAGTACATTTCAATTCTCAATACACAACCAGTGAAGGCAAAATTAACAAAAGATTAAGTCAGAGTTACTCAGACACACGTTGTGTGTCTGCTTGACACTCAACCGACAGCAATAATTCTCCAGGACAGCAGGTAGGCTGTGGTGTTTCAGAAAGTGCAGGTACAGTGACATCTAGTGTAGAGGCTGTGAATAAATTATTGCAATGCAAATGAACATGAATTATTTGATAACATTCTTTTGAAAGGAGCAGACATCTGTAATCATGTGAAAGTATGATCAAATATACAGCGGTATGTTTTCTATCCAATACCTGAATATATCAGACAATCCTGTGGGGATTTTTGCTGTGCTAGTTGAATGGGTTAGAAAGGGTCTATTTTATATGCTATTATTTGTTTTGACAATAATTCCAGAACACAGTATGTTTTAGTATATGAGTAATTTTACTTTTTCACTTCTCACATTAACCTGTCCTTATTCGGCCTTTCGTGTTTTAGCACGAGAAGGTTAAGACAAAAGTAGCTTTCAATTGAATCATTCTGAAATAAATGCATCCATTCAATATCATATCATTCTTAAAAAAATTGCTTGCTTTCCATTTATATTAAACAAAGTATGTTTATTCTGAAGATATTTGCCCGCACTTCGGTGATTTCAACCATTCGGTTTAAATCACTAATTCATAATGGGAAAAAATAAAATAAGTTAGTATATCAAGTGCTATGTTGGAAATGCCACTTTTTAAAACTGGATAAAACGTAATATTTGCGCTAAAAAAGTCGTCTATAACGCAATCGTTACGGCTGGGTGCTCCCCATCGGCTGTCGAAGAAACCGGAAGTGGGGACGGGGTACATTTCAATCCGGATGTTACTCTCTGAACCATCGAGCAAGTTCCTGGGAAGGGCTCTGACCAAAACATAAACAGCTCACAGGACCTCTGTCAGTGGGAGCCCACTCACAGCCTTTACTGCTGTCTCATCATGCTACTGAAATCATGCTGCGTGTACAGCCTCGGAGTGTTTTCTATCCTGTTGTTTATACTTGGCATTTCTTTGGTTTTGTCCGATGTGTTTGAACATCTTTGGCAGTCGGTGGTTAAAACGGTAAGCATCTAAATAATTGGGTTAGCTTTAGATAAGATAACGCTAGCTTACGTAGCTTTAACTGTCGAAGTAGCAAAAACACTCAGATAGCAGCACTCTTTTTTTACTCCATTTATTTATTTTACTAAATATTTATATTCCAAAAGTCATTATCATAGTTTCGCTAATAAAATACTTGTGCAGTCTATAGTTTTTGAAAAAGTGTTTTATTTATAGCTCTCAGAGTATTATACTTGCCCATTTGAACCGACTCTATTCGGCAGCATTGTTCAATGACAGCATGGTTGTACCGATCATTTACTTCACGGGGTATGCTCTCATCGTTCATCCTTAACAGTCATTTACACCCGATTCTTTAATTTAAAGCCTGAGAATAAACCAGAGAAATTATCTGAGGACAAATGAGTGATGTTTTCATGTCACGTGTAAAGTAAATCAGCGCGCGGGACTCTTAAATGACAAAGGTCAATCAGGATCTCTTTCAGAAAAGAGCTTCGAGTTCCAGGTGGTAAAAGTAAAGTAAAACTCTAAATTTAGTCAATATAAGCATATCCTAAGAGTAAAATGTTGATTAAACTGCTTGCTTGTCATGTGATGTGAGACCTGTTATCATCAGCACATGATTCAGTTGTGGTGACACTTTTGTAACCCACTGCCCTTTGTCCCCACAGGAAGTAGTTCTGAAAAATGGAACAGAGGCCTTTGAGGCCTGGGAGGATCCACCAGCACCTATCTACATGCAGTTTTACTTCTTCAACGTGACAAACCCACTGGAGGTACTGGAGGGGGACAGACCGGCTGTGGTGGAGATCGGGCCTTACACTTATCGGTGAGGGGCTCAACTTTTACACACACTAACTAGGCCATAGGCCACAGGTGTCACGTGAAATGCTTAAAGCTACTTACTTGTTATTTCAGCAGTGTTTTTGCTGAGTACAATTTTTTTTTTGCCTTTGTCATAGCTGGTAATATAGCTGCCACTCACAAATAAGTTGTGGAAAATAGAAATAAAGTCCCCCGTCCATCCAAAGGTAAAGGGTTAGGTGGGGGAGTTTCAATTAGAACAGAATGAAGGAAATACATTTAAAAAGGGTTAGAGTTAGGGTCATTCTATTGTGTAGAGCAGTCCACAGAGCATTCTAAGCACAATGTTACGAAGTGGTTTTCAATTAGGCATTCACAGAGATGTTTTTAAAACACCTTATTTCAATTTTAAAATCATTAGTTTAACAACTATCTGAACATTACTTCCCATAACCTTTGGCCTGACCATTCCCAGAGCTCCACACATACCAATATTTGTGTAGTTTTGTATCTTATTAGCTACAGAAGCGTTTTCTCATTTGCCGTCCTCTCTGACTGAAACTATAGTTTGCACAGCTGTAAGCGTGTAACAGAAGTCACTGCGGCACAGTAAGACTCTGAGATCCATTTACCCACTCAGTCCAAACTACATGCTCAGCAGCCCATACAGTTTTATTAGATTTCCTGTAAACTACAATTTAAACACAATCATTGAGTCTATGTTACATTTGACTCATTTTAAGAACTTAATGTGGAGTTTCAAGAAAAAATAGTTTGATGCATTTCTTTAATCCAATGTTTTATTTTTTATGTGTCAAATTATGATGGATAACAATTATTAGTAGTGCAGCTGAACCAAAACTAAATATCTGATCAGTCACCTTCAATTTTGCTTCCACACAGAGAGTATCGTCCCATGGAACAAGTCGCTTTCCAGGATAATGACACTAAAGTGGCAGCTGTCAACACCAAAACCTACATTTTCCAGCCTAACATGTCTCGAGGTCCGGAGAGCGACCTCATCAGAACGGTGAACATCCCAGCCGTGGTAAGCCAGAAAAACCCAGAAGCATGCAAATGGTTTTTCATTAATTCAGTGTTATCCAAAGCTCAGAGGAGTTTAGCAGAATAACAAGTGATTGAAGTTTAATAAGAAAAGTTTAAAAAATGTTTGAAAAGAAAGAGACACTGTTTTTATTAAGTCTCAACCTAGAATTATTTATGATAAATCGAGATGATTTGATCCAGTTGTTTTTCTGTTTAACATTCATTTTATATTTTCCCTTTTTTTTTCTTGTATTAACTAATACTAATTAGGCAAACTGACACAGAAATTGAAACTAATGTTGATAATGCTCATTGAGTGAATTCTTCATTGTGAAACGGAAATATGAGCTACGCTGAATATTTTATAAAGAGATTAATTCGAGTAACTTTTTAAGGGATTTAGCCATTTCACACCTTTTACCGTTGGATAACTTTACTGACGTTGTTGCTTTTCTTTATCCTGGTAGACGGTGATGGAGCGATTCAAGGATTCGCCTTTTGAAGCTAATCTAATCTCGGCCTACATGTCGTCGTCTAAAGAGGGCCTGTTCAGCACCCACACAGTGAGAGAGCTCCTGTGGGGATACGAGGATGCCCTGCTCAAAGCCCTCAAACTTATAAAACCTGAACTGGATGACGTTTTTGGACTGTTCTATAAGGTCTCATTTAAAACCTTGTTATACCTTATGCATACACGCAAACTCAAATGTCACTCTATTAAAAAAATCATGTGAAATTTACAAGCATTGATGACATCTTTGTTTAGCTTTGTGCTTTTTTTTTTTTTTTTTTACAGAACAATGCTTCAAATGATGGAGAATACATGTTCTTCACAGGCCAGCAGAATTACAAGGACTTTGCCAGAGTGGCCTCGTGGAGAGGTGAAAGGTACTGGCCCTCTCTGAGCTCCTGTTTTAAATGGATGCCCATTCTGTGGCAGTGAGAAACACTGACATGATGCAGTTTAAATTAATTTAAAAAAAATTCAATGTCATGGAGCCGGTTGTGTTGGTTTAATTTCCCAGGTTTCCGTTCACTACGAAAGTAAATCTGAAGAGATCTTTTCAGACCACTAATCTGACATCAGAACCTGTTTTCTGCAATATTTAGTTTGTTCTGTTCATGATAATCTGTTGGATTATTTGTCATACCGTTCATGGAATCACTTTTCTGCCCGCAGCTCTTTGAACTGGTGGACTTCTGACGAGTGTAATATGATCAACGGGACCAACGGCGCGTCCTTCCATCCGATCATCACCAAGAATGAGAGGCTGTACATGTTCTCCTCAGACTTGTGCAGGTGAGGTGCAGCGGTGCATGCCTCCATAGGAGGAAGTTTGACATTTGCGTCGGTGGGTTTTACCGTATTTTGAGACTCCAAATCTTCAAGTATGTTTATCTGTTTTGTTGAGGCAGAGAAAATGGCTTAAGGCTAACTTTGTGGGGGTTTTGCGGTTGCTACGCTAACTCATTTATGTTCTTATCTATTTCCTTTTGTTTCTGTATAAAATGGAGCACTGAAAACCCTACAGAAGATTTGAAACTCTTGTGTAAGGTTTTTAGTGTGGAAAGATGAAGTTCGGTCACATTTTCACTGTTGGACACTTTGATTAATTCAGTGTAATTATCTGCTGTCTTCAGCTGAGCATACACTCCTCTTTCGCGGACACTTTAAGCTTATGTAAACACCATTTCTGGTTTCGTGTCAGTTTTTGCTGACATAGACTTTCCAGCATTAGCCCCCACGCCCCACCTTGCGTGAGCTTGAGCCTGCTACTGAAAAGGTTTCCTCTTTAGTCTTCCTAAGCCTTCCACTCAGCATTATTCAGGTCTGGAGATTGGATTAAGGATACCAAATTTGGCTGGGCCGGTTGCATTTCTAGTCAGTTAAGCTTTTTTAAATGAGGTCACTGCTGCTTAAAACAAAAAAAAAACTAAAGGAAAAGAAATTAGACAAGAAACACTGAGTACAGAACATGACTCGTTCATTTGGTGGCGGTGCTATGTTAACATGACCTTTGAACACTTTGGATGAAATCTGCTTGTACTGTGCAGGTTTCACAAAAGCAGCTTAATTTGTGGGCCGAATTCGTGAACAAAATGAATGCAAATCTTTCCCTCTCTGTCACACTTTTTCAGCTTTACACGATCGCCTCTGCACACACAGATTAACCCGCATGTGACTCCGTTTGCCTAGGTCTCTGTATGCTCTGTATGAGGACGACGTGAGAGTGAGGGGGGTCCACGGTTACCGATTCGTTCCCCCCAGCGAGGTGTTTGCCAATCAGACCGTGAACCCGGCCAACGCAGGCTTTTGTGTGCCTGCTGGTAACTGCCTCGGCTCTGGCCTGCTCAACGTCAGTGTGTGTAAACAAGGTGGGAGAAGCTGAACGAAACATTAGACCACGCACCCAAGTGTTCTGTAGAGAGTTTCTTTATCCTCGGTGGAATGCAATCCAGAGGAGAGCTTTTTTTCAATCCGTTTTGTTCCATAATGTCACTCTTCCTGAATCTTGTGTGTGTTTTAGGAGCTCCCATCATTATGTCCTCACCACACTTCTATCAGGCAGATAAGAAATTCGTCCAGGATGTATTTGGCATGACGCCAAATAAGGAGCTGCACCAGACTGCCATTGATATAAATCCGGTATGAGTCACGTCTTTACACACCCACATGCAGGCTTTATCCCACTGAACAGGGCAGATCTGGCTCATTGAAGTGTTTTTTTTAAAGATTTTGAAAGTCTGTGGTATAAAACTGTACCACTAGATGGCGAAATATATCAATTTTGTTATTTGTTACCAGTTGTGAGGCTGCAAACGGCGTTTATTTTAAACTGTGGTTAAAAATTAAAGCAAGAGTACTTGGTACGGAGCTGTCACCAGAGATAAGCTCTGACAGCTCTTATCATGAGTGATGCTTTAATAACCAGGGTGAGTTTGCGGTGAATCCTTGATAAGGCCACAAAGGCAGAAAAAAAAACCTTATGAAGGAGAAGGTAGATTTTTCTAGTCATCCATCCAGTAAGATTCATAGTAGTCTGGGAAAGGAGTCCTGCAGACAGGAAGCAGCCGTCATAGAACAGAAGGCAGAGGCATGGCTGTTCTCACTGTGGAGGACCTGTTTTTGGTTTAGTTTCTCCATGTTTGCATCATTTAGCATACACTGCATCAATAGGTCTGCAAAGCTAAGCATGCAGATTTGATTTTTTTTCATAGATCAGCCATTAAGTGATATTGCCCAAGAGTTCTAAAAATAGAAGCTTTGAGTGAATGACCCATGTTACAAAATGTGTACTTTTGTCTGGTGGTACAATAAACACTGTTTTAGGCTCTAATTATAGGCACGGCTACTATTTGAAATTCTTTCTGTGGACAAAAATGGAAAGTGATGCAACTTTGAACCCAGTGCGCGAGTCTCTGTTCCTTTTTTTTTTTTTTACTTCTTCCTTTATCGAGAGTCTTCAGAGGCTTTGTTAGCTGCTGGGTTATGAGTCACAATTTGACCACTTTACCACTTCTAACTGTGAGAGAAATTGTCGAGTAGTCTAAAAACTGTTTTTCACATGCAGGAAGGCTTGAAGAAGTTTAAGCAAGAACCTAAAATGTCTTCTGAGTAATGCATTAACATTACTGTGAAATGTTTCTTAATTATCATACCACACGCTGTCTTCTTGGCATTATGTAATGAATGATAATGTCCATGTTTAAAAAAAAAAAAGAATTAAAAGCACTGTCACTTCTGCTAACAGACTTGGTAAAACACTTACTAATGTGCAATATATGTAAGGTATTAAACCTGAATCAATTTTAGTGGGCAGCGTGAGTTAGTACTGCTGGATATTTCATGGTTTAGTATCTCTCATGGTTGTAATCTTGTTTTGCAGATGACAGGGATCATACTCCAAGCAGCCAAACGCCTGCAGATCAATGTCTATGTTGAGAAAATTCCCTCCTTCAGGTAATCTGTTTACATCCTCTTTCAGTTCCTTATCATTGAAAAATAGTTGAAATGCTTCTTTATACATGTCTGCGTCACACTGTGGGCTTGAAGCTGCCTTAAGCTGGAACAGTGGTATGAAGAGGTGTGTGGGGAGAGGCGGTTTGAGAAATAAAAAAAATTATTATAATAATGATTTTGCCAACTTGATCGTCATCGTTAGTTGACCGTCCTGGCTCCCTTGCATATGTGTCTGCTTATAATTGAACAGAACATGCAGGGAGATGATTTAGAGTCCTAACTTTTCTGTGCTCTCGATAGCCTTTTCCTCTGCGTGTTAAGTTAGAAGCAAATTAATGCAGAAGGATCATGTTATCTGGAAAAGAAACAACTAAAATCTTTAATTTCCTACCTTATGAAGAAGTTAGATTTTTTTAACAGTCTCTTTATACGCTCTTTGCTTTTTAGAAGGGTCACTGTGTCGGTTGACCTTATGTGAGCAGCAGAGTAAACCGGGGACAGGTTGCCACTCCGACACACCGATAACAGTCTACCAAGCTTTTTTGGCAAATAATCTATCATTGGCGTCTTTTGGAAAGGGCTCCTTTTTATTTTTGATCAGCCACTATTTCTATTCACTTCTTCTGTGATCCTTTTTTTAAAATTCATATAGATAACATACTCTGCCTCAGGTTAAAAGAAAACCCTGTTCATTCAAGAGTCAGTACACTGTTGGAAAACAAACCTGTGGAGTGTTATGTCACACACCACACGCAGCACCGCTTTTACCGTCAGAATTTATCTGTAGTCATAACTTTCTTCATAAATGTTCACAAGACAATAATGTTTTTTTTAATGATCTCTTTCAGTCAAACAGGAAATGTGAGGACCGTGGTCTTTCCAGTAGTTTATCTAAATGAGGTACAAACACACACACACACCACCCTTGTCATGGTCACACTCAAGCACTGACCGTTATCCAATCTGAACTGGATCCTTTTTTTGTTTGTTTTACCTTTTTGACCCACTGTCTCTCTGCCTAATTTGAACTGGATGTTAAATATTTTCTCTACTTATCGCTGAATATTTACCATCAATGTCATGTTTCAACGCTAAACGGAAAGCCAAAGGGAAAAATAAATTAAAATATTACGATTTTTTTTTTAAGTCATGTAACCGATGGTTGATCCACGGTAACATTGATCAAAGCCCCACAAGCAAGAGCCATGATGTGTGATGTTGTAAGATTGTAAGACATTCATTCTTTAATTTAGCAACACTTTAGGTAGCGTTTGATTTAAAGTTCTCTCCTTAAATTCTTGAAGTGATGGTCATATTTTTACCGAGTGGTCTAACCTTCAATATTAGGCTTATAAGTTGCTAAAAGATTTTTTTTTTCAACTTTATTCTTAATTTTGTTACCAAAGTTTGTAGAATTAAAAATCTGTCCTGTATTCCTTATTATCATTCATTCTCAAATCCTTTTGCTTCCATCAGAGCGTCGTCATAGACGAAACGTCAGCCAAGAAGCTGCACGCCATTGTCACCGCCAAGAATGTCGTGGAAAACATTCCATTCATGATAATCGGTCTGGGAGTCCTCCTCGGAGGAATCTTCATGTTCTTGATGTGCCGAGAGAAAGGCCCAGAGGTGCGCACAGCAAATGCTTTTCATTCTTGCTTGATTGATGGTTTAAAACATTTGTAAAGTAGGCCTGAGGATGTTTCTTTCTTATCTCATGATTGACATGAAAATGAAATGTTTGACTGTATGTTTAAATATGTACATTCAAGAGGTTGTGCGATGTGTTTTCTTTTTCAGAGCACTCCTGCCGAACGACAGCCGCTGCTCTCCTCTTAACACTAAGGATCCACCGCTGATCCTCAAGTAACCACTCATCGCTTTGACTACAACTTTTAAACTGGTTTTCCTCTAATGGTTTTAGGAAGCAAAGTGCCAGATTTTAGACACTTTTGGACTCATTTGAGATTTGCAATGAGAAATCCCTCTCCATTTTCTTTTCCCACACGTTTCTTTTTGTTGAATTGTAAACTAGTTATATTAGTGTTTTTACCCCCCAAAATGAGATTGAAATTTTGGATTACAGTAGGCAGCATCGTACAGGGTTAAACCCCTTTCCCATTAAAAAATATCTGCCTGTGTGGAAAGATGCTATCCATCTTATTTCAAAGTCATAGCAGATTGTGTTGTAAAGGTGCTTGTGTGTGTGTGTGTTTATAGGCTGCAGTTACAGGAGTTGCTGAAAGACTTGAGATTGTTTTTAAAGGAGACAGAAAAAACATTGCATTACTGTTTTGAATCAACTGAAAAATGCTAGACGTCAAATGTGCGGACAAACTGCTGGCAGAATGTTTTCATGTTAATGTGTTGTATATGACTAGATTAGCCACAAAAATGTTATGCATGGAACAAAATCCATCTCAAGTCACGAGTATTTGCACTTTAATGATGGTTGAACCTACTCCTAGTCTTTGGTTAAAAAACCAGGGGACTAAGCAGCGTTACTTTAAAAGGATAAAGGGAAGGCTCTCTCTTTTGTGAAGTTTTTGGAGGTGTGAATCACCCTGAGCTATTTTCAGTATTTTGATGATTTAATGATTCAGATTTTAAACATTTGGGATACAAATGAAAGCATTAATGGATTTCTGCTTCTGTCGTAGCTTTCCAGTGTGAAGCAGTTGGGTTTTTATGTCAGAATTCTGCTGTTGTAAGTTGCATCTTTATGACTAAAAACACTTATGGCACTTTTAAAAGCTGAATTTTTGGATCTCTAACGAGTCGGTCCAGCACTGCAAACAGAAATGTGTCGACTAATGAGCAGTTTTGTTTTTATATATGAATATTACTCGGGGTATCTACCACTTACTGACAGGTTTTTTAATTTCATAAAGAAAAACATTGTTACACTAACTGTGCTAAAACCAGTATCTGCCATGTAATCACTGTTCCATACTCAAACTGTGTGAAATCTACATGTGTATATCTAACAGCTTCCACCTTGCCGTTTGTCGGTTGCTATTATTAAACTTTAACTAATCACCTCTGACCTTGTTGAAGTTCATCACAGAGCAAAAAATTATTTGAGACGGTTCCTGTAAATCACCTCATTTTTGGTTTTCTTATCTAATCAGGTATGTCCCGCCAAAATTGTGAACAGTCCTTTCATCAATTCAGGTCTGGGACAGGTCTGAGTTTTCTTTTAAAGTTTTCTCAAAACTGGGGGACGTCTTAAAGTTGAGTCTATGAATCAGGGGCAAAAAGCTATTTCCCTATTTTCAATTCCAACTAATTCTTCAGAGGCCTCAGGTAAGCACGGTAGTGACGCATCATAGTGTGGGCCCCCTTTTCGTGAAGTCCGTATTTGTTGTTCGCTTTGTTGGAGTGACCAGTTGGACGTGGTTCTATAAACGGATCTGTCTCAGCACACCTCGCAAAAAGAAATGCAACTTCCAGCCCTCTTTAAAAAGAAACACCCTTTCCCTTTAAGCTTACCTGCGACGTGGAATTGTCCTCAATTCCCAGGTTAAAGTGTACTTTGGATCTTTGGAGATAAACTTTGACATTGTGTGTCACTATAAAACTGATAAACTGACTCGGGACTACTCACTCTGCCAAACCATGGCCACTGCAGCAGCAAACACAGTGAATTAGTCAGAGGTTAGCTCCTCCCCTTCCCAATTAAAGCCTTTAATACAGGTAACAGGAGCACCACGCCGGCCGTGCACCAGACCCTCATCTCGCTGAAAGTCCATCTTTACCAACAGCATGAGGACGCTTCAAGAAAAAATCATCCTCCTCTCTATTTTTCTCTGCCTAATATGTGTCACCCAGGTGAGTTAATCATCTATTTTTGCCACCGTTTATGCCGTTCTCTCTGTCTTTTTACTGTGATTATCACAAGCTTTGTTATTGGATGGGGTTACAGCACAGGATATCCCCACTGAGGGGTCATCAGAGCTGTAACAGGGTTCATTATTTGCTTTTGCAGGTCAACGCACTGCCTGTTCCCGACGACTGGAATGGTTTGATCCAGCGAACCAAACGATCGTTGCTGTGGCGTTGGAACAGTCTGAAGCCTGTCGGAGCCAGTTGTAGAGAGTCCTTAGAGTGTGGCACCCACTACTGCAGGTAGGGTAGAGCTAACCTGTCATATCAAAGCTTAAACAGTTGATGTTGCAAAGGCAATTATTAGTAATTCCACACCATTTTCATGTCATGAAATAGAGAAAAAAGTCTTTCATATAGTTCTCATATGTTGAGTGCTTTCATGTCTCTGTTCTAACTTGAAGTTGGCTTCAAAATGACAAATAAAAAGTTAAGTCATAACGCTCCAGTAAAGTTCCTCCTTATCTTTACAGGAAGAACACATGTTCGTTCTGATACTCCGTCAGCAAAGAAGACACCGAATACAACTCTGTTAGGAGGGAATTTTAAAAAAGGAGGCAAAAAAAAACGAAGAAGCTTGATGAACCAAAGCCTGATATCTATTATTGGTCCTGTTGTTTTCTAACTTGACCCTCTAAGATCTGTGGGAAGCTTATCAGAACCTGTGCGCACCACTGAAGCAATCCCTCCTGCAGAAAAACAAGGCTGTAAAAGCTGGGACACGCTACAAGTCAAATGGCACCATCTTGAGTTATCATTTTTCCCTGCAACATCAGACAGGCTGTGTAATCTCAGTGTTTTTGATAAGAAAATATAAATATTCATGCAAAGCTTGTGAGATGCTCTGAATTTATTGGCTGATGTTTCAACAATTTTTTAAAAACGTATTTGTACATACTGTAAAAAGATGTAAATATTCAGATATACAATGCATATTTTTTTAAAGAGGTTGCTTTGTTTTTTTTATGTAAAATAATTAAAATATTCCTCACGGTTCCTCCTACTTTTTAATTGAAATAACGTGAAAAAACAATGACAAATGACCATTTTGTTTGTTTTTTTAAATTCGCACTAGAATCAGTTCAGTTCAGTAGCTTTTATTTGTCCCAGTATGGGCAATTTTTGTGAATCAATATGTATTTAGGGAACTCCTAAAAACTGGATGAGCAACTAACTGACTCTGATTCTCCACCAGAGAACAAACTGCGCCACTTTGGGGAAATCTTTGCGCATGCAAATTAAAGAGAAACTGCCCAATAATTGGAGGAAGATATTCTAGCACAGAATAACGCTTTAAGTAATTGTTTACTCGAAACTTAATTTCTTTCCGTCCCGCTGGCTGCTGCCGGGCCGCATCTCTATGTCTCTCCATGTCTCCGTGTCTCTCCATGTCTCTATGCTGCTCTCTGGACGCTTTGACATGCGGAGACTTTTCTCTCTTCTGATTGGCTGAGACGGTGGTGACGCAGCAGTCCTCCAGACTGAGCGGTGCTGAGGCGGCGGACGCTGTCTGCCCGCCCGCCGGACCTCAATGTCGAACCGGTCTGGGACGGAACTCCTGCGGTGCTCCGGGGTTCGGACTCCGGGTTTTTAGAGGCAGAGCCCCGGTCACAGCCACGAGAGCAGCGCTCATTCACCGCGTGCTGGCCAGTGGCCATACCGGCATGCCTTTAAAAGAAAAAGAATGTTTACGGGATTTTGGACTTCACAAGAGCAATCCAGAAGAAGAGGACCGATGCCAACTGTGATTGTGTGACTTTTCAAGTAGGTTTGCCAGGAGATGCGCTGGTGATCCTGCAACATGCATGAAAGCTTATTTGCGGCTAATTTTCCTCATAAATTAGCGACATCCCCACTGTGCGTGTGTGCTGCTTAATTCCTACGTCGTGTTATTGATCATATTTCAAATTTTTCATTTGGACATTTATTCATGATTTCTTTTTTGGGCGCCTGCATGTGTCCCGTTTTCTCTTTTTTTGCCTGGGACGCTGTCCTACTTAAGCCACTTTGAAGATGTCTTCATTCTGAAAACCCACACAGACCCACACATGCATGCATATGAGAGACAACTACTCCATAATGTAGGTCAGGCATGGCTTCTGATCATGCATAATTTGAGTAATCAGCCTGAAATATTTCCTGCCACGCTGTGCATACAAAGTCTCCCAGCTATAATGATGTCCCCTCTCATTAAAGAGGCAGGGCAGACCGTACGGGCAGAATCATGACCACGGGTCCAGTCCCTGACGCTGGATGGCCAACATCAACTGACAGACAGATCCAGACAGGCGGTTTAGTTAGTTCCAACCATCTATTCGTGCTCCACTGCACTGAGAAGTGCAATTAGGTTTTTGTGTGAGGAGATGAGAGGGATTCTTGCAAGGGTAGCACGCAACAATCTCCTCCAGGTAGTGAAATACTGCAGACTACTGGTTTCCCTCAAGCTGACCTACTTTGTTGTGAATTTAAACTACTGGATGTAGATAGCCATACATCAAGGTAAAGAAGGTGTCCCTATTTTCTAAGGTAGTGCTCCCATTATAGCCTGTCCACCAGTGGAGGTGGATATTTCTAGATACATCCTATTGTATTTAAAGGGAAATGGTTTTGTCTGATTCAACTCTTTTTTTTTTTGGTTCAGCAAAGATGCACATCTGGGTAATAGACACACGAGCCTTAGAAAGAAATCGTCCTTGCCTACTTATTATTAGTTCTGTGCTAATGCGGCTTTTTTCTCTTTTTGAGCCTGCGAGACGAGCTGAGAACACTTAAATGTGATCGTACAATTTTCAGCCACAGCATGAGAACAATCTGATTGGGCCATAAACAATATCCGTAACTGTTACTGGGGAACCTTTGAGTTCTGTCTCCTAGGCTCTGAGGCTCCTCAGTGTGAGGCCAGTAGCCTATGTAGTTTATAGGATGAGCGTCTGAAGCTGTTTTTTTTTGTATTATGTTCTTTGATGCATATTTGCAGAAAAAGAGGATCAACACTTTTCAGTTGTCATGGGTTTTAGTCTTTTCTTGTATATTTCTTGTATATTAGTACATACGTTTTCTGTGCTCATTTGCAGCTAAGAATACCTTAAACAAGCATTTCTGAGCAGCACTACCAAGTGACACAACTGCGTTTGAAGTTTGTCTCAGAAAAACAATCTGAAGTGACCGAATAGTTATCTTAATGGGAATTTTCCAATTATTTCTCATACTGGAACATTGCAGGATGTCATAAGACATCTAGCTGGCACATAACAATACACAAATATCTTTGAAATATATTTAAGGTTTAAAAGAAAGGTTTAGATTTGACAGCTCTGTGGAATTTATTCTTCCCTTTTGGTTGTCCTGTTAGCACCATCGCCTCACACCAAGAAAGTTCTGCAGTCTCCCCGTGTCTGCCTGGGTTCTCTGGCTTCCTCCCACCGTCCAAAAACCTGCATGTTAGGTTGATTGGACATTCCAAATTGCCCTTAGGAGTGAGTGTGTATGGTTGTTTGTCCTTGTGTGTCTCTGTGTGACTGGCAGACCTTCTAGGGTGTTCCCTGCCTCTCGCCCGTGGACCTCTGGGATAGGCTCCAGTTCCCCTCGCGACCCCATTAGGGAATAAGCGGTCAGGATAATGGATGGGTGGATGTTTCTTATCAACTATGCAAGTTCTTGGATCGGTGCTTAACGGTACTTTAGCTCATAAGGTGCTGTAAGGGGTGTTATTGCCTGTGAACGTGCTTCCCATTTATATTTATATTATGATGTCATATAAACAAATCAACAAAGCATGACCTCATTGTTGTATTTAGCAGCAGATGTTATATATGCTGCGACACATCACGCCTCAGAACGCTTTGGCATAGACTGACATGGAAAAAAAGCCCTAATTGGGACAGATGTTTGAATTCGCTATGCGGCACCCATATTATTTTTCTCCTATCTCCGAATGGCAACCCTCCGAAGTTTCGATGCAAATTCTTTGTAATATTTACTTTTGAAGATTGACAGTATCACCCATCTGCAGCTGTTTTATTTGAAATAAGCGTGATGGAAACATGTCAGAATGTGTCCGCTGAACTGATGTGAAAGTATAGGTAAAGTATTTACCCCTAGCAGGGCCGGCAGAGCATCTCTGCAGTGCAGCTGCCCTAGTTACCGAGCAGCTGAGTAACCGTGAGGGATCGCGGTTGGCCCGGGTGGAGGGGAGGAGGGGTTTGTTAATGGTCGACTGAATTATGTAGTGAAGACTGCGCTGAGGGCCAGAGGCGCAGCGCCCAGTCAGACTTGTGAGAGCCGGTGGTGCAGACTATCAGCACAGTCGCCTGCAGTGCAGCTCTGCTTTGCGTTATTTATCTTCTTCTTGTTTCGTTCGAGAGGCGTCGTGTGGAAAAAATGGCTTTTGGATATTTTTTCAACATGACCCTAAAAAGTCTAATTAGGTCCCAGAGGCAATGGATCTTTTCAGATCTCCAGCTTGAAAACAACAGTCTGGAAATGTACACATGCTGTGTTTGCATATTTGTTACTGAAGCTCTTTATGTAGTGAGGCCTAAAACACAAAAGTCTCTGAGGGCAAAAAAAAGTTAGATTACACAAGGAAAACCACAATCATAAAGATCTAAATATTCACCCAAAATACAGATGATACAGTAAATAACTCGGGGGCCTTTCATCTAATCATTCAAATGAGTTTTTGCCATTGCCGTTTGCAGCATGTACTCATATTTCACTGACTGATTTTCTGTCATTCTTTCTCATTGGATAATTCTGTTTATCTATCACTGTTTCAGTGTTTGATTTTAGAAAAATGGGGACAGCTTCCACGATCAAGACTCACCCATCAGCATGATTGGAGGATCCAGTCTCTCGGGGCACACCTTGGTAGCCTGCCATTTCCCCGTGGTGCAGCTCCCCACATGGCAGCTTCCCGTCCAGGCCCTGTGCGGCTCGGCCAAAAGGCCCGGCCGGCTGTGCTCGGCCGGCCTGACCCGGGCCGTGTCCCTCCCGGAGCAGGACACGCGCAACCACGAGCACGCCCTCACGGACGCTCGAAGACATTTTTCCAGCAGCTACTGCAGTCTGGCGGAGGACCGGGCGGAGGACGAGGGCGCCAGCGACAGCAGCGGGAAGTACGACTGCGCCTCCTCCCCGGAAGAGGCGAGCTCCCACCTGACCGGGGACGGCGGCGGGGCCCGAGCCTGCCTGCGCTCACACAACTCCTTCCTCCCCAACGCCGAGCTGGAGGAGGACGAGGCCGACGAGGACAGCGACGGAGACAATCTCCACCGATATCACGAAGACTCATCTTTTGTGTTGCACGGAAATCCCCACTGGCAAAATAACGGTGCCGTCAACTACGCATTGGCCCACGGGGACCCGGACAGCGAGTGGGGCAGTGAGGGGACAATGCTGGGTACCGGCGGTCACCCAGAGTGGCTCTCCAACCAGCCTGGGCGTGTGGACTCCTTACGGCCTGAATGCCGGTGCTTTGACGGTGGCAGGCCTGGTACTACGGTGTCGTCCCGTGTGGAGCAGAGCGCCGACAGACTGCAGGATAACGTGTCCTGCCAGCGCAAGTGTTCCTCGGATCTGCTGTCCAACAGCCTGACAGAGTACGTCAGCGACTCGTCCTGCAACAGCTCGGATGGGGTCTTGGTTAACTTCTGCACCATCTATAGTAAAAGCAACAACCCCGCCACGCCTCACGATCTCAGCAGTCCCGCCGTCCACCCCGCTCACTCCTCTGAAGGGTCTGTGTTCCTCAGTCTCCAGCCCGTACCTCAAAGTCCGTCCGTCCACAACGGTGACGCGACGGCTTTCTCCCCTCCGAAAGAGGAGACCGACGCAGGCCTTTCCGGGGCGCGCTGTTCTGCCCGGGGTCTGGACTCCAACTGCAACCACTGCAGCCTGGAGCCTCTGCCCCCGGGTATGTCCTCTCTGGAAGTGTCAGACCTGACCGCCTGTCTCCAGAGCCAGTCAGCATTAGCCGTGGGGACTAACCAGAAATACTACAAGCTGGTCACTTGTGACCTCTCCTCCCAGTCACCAAGCCCGGCCTGGTCCAGTCTCACCAGCTGCCCAGAGGGGCAGGGCCGAGGCAGCCCTTTTCTGTCCCCTCTTGATCATAAGAGAGGAGCACAGCACAGTGAAGTCAAGCAGGTGGGTTTAGATACATGCCAAAGTTCTATAAAGAGGAGATGTTATATTAAAATACTGTTTATTAGGGCAAGCAGCTTGTTTTCTAAAATCCTATTTTAACGATAGTGTGTTTCAGTTTTCATCAAGAAATAATTTAAAAAATGATATCACACAATCCAATACACCAAGAAAGGCACTGAGAGTCATATGAGACATCGGTATTTTTAGTCAGTGACGCAAATCTTTTGTTAATTTAGACGCTCAGGCTAATTCACGAGGGCTGCTCGTGAATGGGAGTAGCACTCTAAGATGTTTTTGAAAATAAATTAAAAAAACATCTCAAGTTTTTCGAGGTTTAGCTGTAGTTTGCAGTTTATTATCAACCCTTTGGATTGCTTGTGTGAACTGTTATCGCAGAGATCCAGTTAGTATGTATCAGTATGCATCTCCCTCCTGCAGAAAAAGCAGATGGTTCTGTTGGTCACTTCTGTTTTGTGTTACTGTGTCCTCCTTAGGTCAGAGATGATCAGGAAAAGGAAAAGGCGTTCTCCTCTGTCCAGTCCAGAGCTGAATTTCAATCCCCTCACTTTCTGACGATAGATTACCAGGTTGCCACCACCTCCAATGACAAAACCTTCTTCTGGAAGCAACATACAGGCGGCGCCCAGAGTATGTCCCACATGCCCTGCTCACAGTACCCCAACCAGTGTAGCGATAAATGCCAAGACACAAGCAGAGCGTCCACTCAGCCATCTGCGGTGCACGACCAAGAGCATAATATTACTGATACTGTCGATGTGGGTAAGCACATTCTCTAATGTTTTTTCTCTGTTGCCAGGAGACAAAAAATGACATACAAGACAAAGTAACAACAACAAAAAAAGAAAATTTGAAAATCAGAGAGAATTTGCTTTACTAAGTTAATCGAATTTTGCTTAGATCTGTTTCTCCTTTCCTTTGCAGGAGTTTGTTCAGTGGAGGGAGAAGTGGCGCACAGCAGCAAGCCCCGAAGACCAACATCACTCCCAATCCAGCCATTCGTTCTGATCCCTATAGAAAAACCACAATCCCAGGCCCAGTATCTGGGCTGTCTTTTGGAACAGTACATAAATCAAAAGAGCAGCAAGCATGGGGAGTCCCAGCCAGACCCTGAATTCAAGGTAAAAAGGAGTAAGTGCTTATCTAATCTTCAGTCACCGCTGATGGAGGGCCACTGCCCCATCTTTCTGGACGCTCCTTCTACCTCGGATAGCTGCTCCACCTGCACCCCAAGTCCAGAGAGCTTCAGCCACAGACATATGTGGAGTCAGTTCAGTAGGAACCAGGGGTGCCCAAGCACGTCAAAAAGCACCCTGGATTCCCATCGCGCAGCTGTGGAGGCCAGAATTGTTCAAATGCAATATACGACAAGCCCAACATGTAACAAGACTCGGTCCGACCGTTCTTTTAATCTTATCTCCGCCTTAAATCGATCCAACCTTGTCAAGATCCCCACTCACCAGGACCTGATCGGCCTCACCTCAGAGCAGGACGATGCCAGCGCAAAGCCCGGAAGTCCCGGCTCGTCTTTGACCCACTCTTCCTACTACCCGGGATCCTCCCTCACTCCACCCACACTACCCCTTACGGCTGACGCCGATCAGCCAAACCTGAGAGTGTCCCTGTCGCCCGCCTGCTCCCGACCACAGCAGAAGTTCCCACAGTATCAAGCTCCACCTGCAGCTGAATCTGACTTCAGCAGTTTTACAGCCACCCTCTCCTCCGTGGCTCCCCTCTCCTGTTTGAGCTCCCTTCTCTCCCGGGCCGCTTCAGGCCTGCTTCCCCATGAGACCCAGGACTCTGCCGGACTCGGTTTGAAGCCACATCAACACGGCGAATCTCTGATCCTGAGCGACAGGCCGCCCAATGAATTCTGCCTCTCGCCTGACACATCTTATGAGTCCATGTCTATCAGCCACCTTCAGAGGAGAGGTGAGGCTCGGTTAATGGCAGATACTCTGTATTAAGTCGTATGAATTAGGCAAACGACAGTCGAAATATTTTGTAAAATCAACCCAGAAGGAAATATTGACCAGATCCCTCCTTGTTTAGATCACGAGCTGTTGAGTGGAGCAATACAATCTGACTGCTGCAGCAGTGCCTTCAATACCCTGAAGGGGCTTTCTCTCCAACATGACCTATTTTTAACTCTCCCTGCACAGGATTGGCTGAGCCCTCTGCTCTGTTGCCTAAGTGTGTGTGTGACTGCGAGCTCCGGCAGGGGCCAAGAGAGAAAACGATTCAGTCCTGTCGAGAATTGACATCGTACCCAATCATTTAGTTTAATACCATCATGTGGGCTATCTGATGTAAAGTTGATTCTACCAGTTTGAATCTTTTACAGCCCATAATCGCTAATGGAGGCATTTGTGGCAGCAGTGAGGAGTCAGTGTGTAGCGGCACTGCAGGCAGCACCGACACGCATAAAGAATTTACTGTGACATTTGCAGAGGCTGGCTGGTATGAGATGGAGGAAGAGAAGCAGGAGATCGCTACTGATATGGAAAAGTCACTCTTTTATCTCCAGTTTCTGGTCAATTTTCCATTCCTTTTGATATGATAATGAACCCTGAAAGCACTGTTCTGTGTAACCACCTTGGTTGATATTTTTAGCTGATATAGACAAAGCTGTCTTAAAATGAGAGATCATGTACTTATGCTGTGTCATTATTCAAAACCAATCCTCTGAACATTCCTTGAATAGGATGATTGGTAAAAGAAACAAGTCCAGTCTTGAGTTTAGACTGTAAGCAGAAATAAATGTCTACATCAGTTCTATACTATATAAATATTGCTACAAATATAGTGTACCTTAAGCTGATTTCAGCCTGTGCATGTGGCGTTCCAGGTTTGCTGAGGTCTGTGAGCAGTGCTGTGGATTTGATCATGGCCCATTTTGGCAGCACTAGAGACCCTGAAGAAAAGGTATGAAGACACAGAGCTATGCAAATTGAATAATGTGTCCCAATAGAAATAAACCAAACTGGTATTAGTGGAAAAGAGTCAAATGACTTATCTAACAGGACCCAGGACTCTGTCTGACATTACTTTCTTGGTGAAACAGATGTGGTTGGGTAACAGCTCCTACAGCCCTACGATCGCTGGCCTGGTCCTAGAACACTTATGTCCTGCCATCCAGAACATTTTAGAGGACGGCCTACGGGACCACAAACTGGATTTCATAATCGGGCAAAGGCGCAATCATGCCTGGAGTGTGGTTGAAATCTCCACCAGAATAGGTACCTGGAATATTTTAACGTGATCCATATAAAATTGCTATTGGTCTCGGTCTTATCATGTTGTCCACCTCTGCTCCAGGTCCATCCACCAGGGTCCTTCACAGCCTGGTCACCAAAATCAGACACTGTCCTCAGCTCACCAACCACAGCATGAGACTGAGAGCCTTCATCATGGGTCTTCTTAAGTAAGAGCTAAAAGAACTAAAGCACATGAAAAAGAAACTGCACTGTGTCCCTTATTTTCTTTATTTCTTCACTTACAGCTTGAGAGCATTGGAATTCTGGCTCAGTCACATGCAGAGTCAAACAGGTTGGTGTTAAAACATTTTAGGGCTTTAGCTCTGGTCATCCTGATTTGGCACCTTTTTCCATATCAAAATTTCATTTTCACTGATACTTTCAATCCAGTGTTGCTGCATGTGATGGGTGGTGTAGTACTGTGGTTATAAAATTGCATGCATAGTTGAGCTAAAAGGATAACTTGAAGTGTTGATCATGGTGCATGTAAACATGTATGTGGCTTAAGACATGTGAGTATTTGGGAACCTCATAAAAAAAGACTGAGTTCACAGATGGAAAAAGATTCAACTGCATACAGTTGGTTAGATATGTTACTTTCGTACCGCATGAGCATTATATTTTATGGCAGCTTTAAGATAGAATATATCTAGCAGTCAGAAATGCTTTTGTCTGCATTGTCATGATTTCTGGGCATCATGATTTCTTTGCATTCATGGGAAGTTGGAAGCCAAAGGCAGTTTCAGTCTCAGCTCAGTTTCAGAGCCTTCATACCAAATTTGTGTTCTATCATTTGCCTGACTTAGTGCATCTTTGAATAATTAGCTGTCTGTGTGCTACGTCCACAGATTTAGTGATGGCGTACTACCACTCTTGGGGGTTCCTGTCCATGTCACTGGGGCAGTGTCAGGCCTTGTTTCAGGAGCTCTTACTTCTGCTGCAGCCGCTCTCTGTGTTGCCCTTTGACCTCAACTTACTCCTGGAGGTTCGCCTGGAGCGTCGCAGACGTCTGTGTTCGGAGGAGCAGGGTATTTCTCCACCTCAGCCGTGCTCAGCTCTCCTGGTGACCAGCTGGCCAAAGCTACTGAACAGGAAAGTCCAGTGCTGTAGCACCCAGCCAACACAAAGTTCCCCCCATACGGGTCAGCAGTTGCACGGTTTGCTGAATTCAAGTTGCCCCAAGCTGCAGTACGGAGGCATGCAGGCCAGCAGGAGTTCGCTAGCCCCTATCCCAGAGTTCTTGGTAAAGGAGCCCGACCTGTTTGATGATGTGGGTGAAGAAGTGGAGTGCATGGAGAATCATACAGACACTTGGTCTCAAATAAGCATGGAGAGCAGGCAAGAAGAAAAGAGATTTGAAAAAGACTGTAGAACTCTCAACGCATCTACCCATGCCCCGGCAGAGAGTCCGGGTCAGAGCGGCCTGCGCTGGGCCAAACTGTTCGGAGCATCAGACGCTTCCAGCAAAGCCGAGAAAAGTTCTCATTCTAACGGCGGATCGCAAACCAGAAGGTAAGAATCATGAAGCAGTAAAAATTATGCCTGAGTAACGTTTTGAATTTGTCCAGGGGGTGGATGGTTCTGTTGTTCTTTGAATGAATCACCTTCAGCTTTCACTCTACACATTAACAGTAGCTCTTAATGGTTCTGTTGTTTCTGCATGCATAGGCGACCATCGCAGTGGCTCCATTTGGACAGATCACATCTTGGACTGTTGGCTCAATCTATCAGGTCACTGAAGCTTGGAGGAACTCAGCCACAGACAGATTGCTGAACTCTGTCCCACTGTCAGGGGACAACCGAGTGAGGACTTTTTTATTGTGGTAACATAAATTTGTTATGCATGAAATACTTACACAGAGCTCGACTGCACTGCTGAACTGATGTCAAAGCACAAAAATAAACGACTATCAGCCAAAGGCACATATTAAATAAGCTTGTCTATTGCACGAGCTGAGCTAGATAACAATTTCCAGCTCCATATAAACAAAAAATACTGCTTTTTTTACAATAGTGATAGGAAAATCTGAAGTTCTGTGTCCAGTCAACAGCATCTAATTGTATAAACAGGAAGTTGTTGAACTTGATGCTGTTGAACCTAACCACTGAAAATGAAACCTTGAGAGGCAGAAAGTCTCAGAAAGTTACTCAGTCACTGCAGACAGAATGAGCTGAGACGGATCATGCTCACATTGTAGTGATCCTCAAATCTCCTGTTTGCAAACTCTCATAGTGAAAAACACAACTTTGCTCTGACTGAAACTTTAAACCCATGCAGCTGGCTCTGATCTCACACTTTCCCTAGATTGTGGTAGTTTATGCTCCTATTTATTGTGAGACGCCTTTTCCTGATAGAGATATCTCCATTATATCCATTACTCTTTTCCCAGCAATACCTTGAGGATTGAGGGCAGAGACCCTAATTGCCTCTGCAATTGAAATAAGGTGCTTATGCTCCTTTGTTTCTGTATACCTTGAAAGCAAAAATGTTCATATTTATCTGCTGTAGACTGTCAGACATTCTTGTGGTGCACAGTTTTCCATTTATCACGTTGTGTTGCCGTCAGTGTGTGTATAGCTTTATTTTTCCTCGTACATTTGTAGATGAAGAGAAAACAAAGCCAAATTTACTACAAACACCAGCCTGTTGTTGTAGATTGTCAATGATTTTTTACTTTTATTATTCTGACTAGCTTGCTCTCTTTCAGCGTATCCCCAGCATGGATTTACTGTAGACGCATGAGTTAACAAAGAAACAGTGGCTGATCCTGTTTATACTCCATCTTTGAACTTCCTAACAGGTTCCTGTTCCACAGTTCTGGAACATTTTCCTGCTCCGTCTGATGTTTTTTAAGTCCTCTGTCGCCCCGTGTTTTTGCTCGGTTGCACAAGTACAAGGTGGCCGTTTCAGGTATTAAACTGTGTGTCAGGTATATTTCGACTGCCAGCTGATGAGATAAGTCAGAGAAAAGTTAAGAAAATAAATAAATTATTTTCATTTACTGAATTGAGAGATAGGAATTTTGTGAAATTGGTCAAAGTTCTGTTCTATTTTCTTTATTTCCTTGAATCTTCCTATAACGCCCTGTGACAATCAACCACTGTCAATAAAGACTGAACACATTTACCCCTTTTGTTTTTTGTTTTTCGGACATTCCAAATTTCTTTTCATTCAAAATATTTACTAAGAATAGGTGGGACCTTTAATTACAACGCTTTTACGTGAGCAACACTGATTTTATTACGGCAAGAGGTGTTTTAATGAGCTTTCTACAAGATTCCTTTTGTTAAGGTGCTCTCTTCAAGCACATTCTGGGAAATTAAAGGTATGTCCACACAAAAGCAGAACCCATTACTCACTACGCCATACCATTATTTGTTAAACAGGGAGGGTCACTGACAGGCTGACATTGTTTCTTTTAAAAAAAAGTTGAAAGATAATTAGCAAGTGTGAGCATCTCTTTAAAGTAAGGAGTTTGAGCCGGTTTCTTGGCCTGATGCCATTAAGTGTGTGTTAAACCCTGCCAAAAGGAAGAGATGCTAGCGGCGTTTTTAAGGGAAGACGATGTTGCAGCCAATGAACTCTAACAGAGCAGCTAATCAACAACATAAAGGGTGAATAATGGAACCCATTTGTAAAACCTTTGAATAGTAAGACAGTAAGACCGTGTAGATTCATTTTCATGTCATCAACTTAAGCACCTAATAAAGAACTACAAGCTACTCTCAAAGGAAGCCTTCAGCTTCGTGGTAGCAAAATCCAGGTATCTTTACAGTAAATGATCTGTATTCACTGGCTGGCCATGATCAATAGTCCAAAGAAACTGTTAGTCTGCGTTCATTTGAGGTGAGCACAATTATCTACTGAACTATTGACCATCATATAGGTGCAACGTTACATAAAGTATTGAGTGACTCAGCATCCATCACATTAAGAGAAACAATCTGACACCTAGTGGCGTTGTTTACAATAGCGATTGTCCTACTCTAATTGTCTAATTTTGCCATGATATTACATTCTTGCTGGTCAACAAGTTTATTCATAAAGCTACACCTATATCTGTAAGTTCTGCTTTAGTTTTCAGATACGTTTCCTTCTAAGCCTGTTTCACTCTCTTTATCTTTCTGATGGAAAATGTCCCGACCTTCTTATGTTCTCTTCATTCCATGTTGCAGATGTTGTGGAGACTAAACCATTTGATAAAAAAGGATTAACTCTTTTGCTTGAAAAACTCATGCTCATAAAAAAACAAAGAATAATGATTTGACTACAACATGTGTGGGGTAAAATGGGGACTTACAATGAAACTCTCAAGTATTCACTGCTCCCGTGATGGCTGAGCCAAGAAGAAGGTGAAAATGTGTCCTGACCCTGTGGGAAGATTTGGAGCTCCCATTGAGCTGGTTAGTATGAAGAATCAAACTCACAAACTGATGTGAAAAAAACATACAAAGACAGAAAGAACTACAAAGTCTATTTAAGTCAGCTTAGATATTTTTGAATGAATAAAAACAAATTAGTTTAAACCATGACAATGTAATCAACAAAAATTATTAAAGAGTGAGTGAGGTGACACAAAGTGTTGCCACCTGTCCGAATGATTGAGTTTATTTAGAAAGATGATTGGTGGGCCAACAGATTTAATGGTGGACAGCTTGGTCTTATGAGGTAGATTTTGGTCTGCCAATCAGATGGTTTGTGGTTTGACCGCAGCCTTGTCAGCATACACAAATTTCATTGAATAAGAACTGTAAAAACAGCACCGTAATTCATAAACATGTGGGTGGATTTGTCTTGTACGGTAAGAGCCCCTTTGAGAGGTGAGTAAGAGCATTGAAATGCAACATAATAATAATGCTGTCCTTTTACCATTGTCTTTAGACTCAATTGGTCCCCATTTGGGGGATTTTTTTCAAATATGGTGCTAAATTACCTCCATGCATTTGCAATATCCAACACAAATATGTGAACAGACACAATGTAGACACAATTTTGTATTCACCAGCTGCTCAAAATGAGGAAACTCTTGTGTCTTATATGTCTTTTTTCCTGGCTGCTCCTGCAAGAATGTGTGTATCAGATCAAATGACATTGCACTGTGCTCATCTGGAGAATGCAAATCACGTCAGCAGACAGGAGTGTCCGTTCGACACATTCCTTCAGTCGCAGATAAATCCCAGTTTGTTTGTTTTGTTGATGAGCTTGCGCTCTATCAGCATCTTTGGATCTCTGCCTTTCACACGTATACCGTTTCACTGTACACCTGCTATGACATTTCACCCATATTCTGAGTCTGTGTTGACTTTAGGCATGTAGGTCATGGCAGAGAGGGCTTTTTCTAACTCAGTTCAAGTGGCTTTACATCACTGGCTGGGTCCTTGTGCTTATGACCATCTGCGTAACTTTAATAACTATCTTCAAAAAAGGAACCAGGTACTGTCTATCCGCAATTGTCAAGTCTTGCTCATCTTCTGTTTTGGAGAAGTGTGGCTGTAAATTTCAGCCTTCAAATAGCATAAGGGAATCACCTTTTTTTCTCAGTCTTTAATGACAGGAAGGAGCAGGTATCAACACGCATTGCCATGCTGGGATCTGGAGAGGTGTGGCAAAGGAATGGAGGCGGATCAAGAGGAATGTTTTCAACTCGACATCATCAGCTCAAGTGTGTGGATTACCCAAGCGGGCGCCGTTTCATTTTCTTTTTGCCGTTCAGAAGTACAGGTGTAAGGGGACGCGGCTGCGGTCTCTGTTTGGCAATGAATCTGTACAGGAGCTTTGGGAATCTCATGGAGGCTTGGGTAATAGAGGATAAAACTTGTCTGAAGTCAGACACTTGGCTTGAAACTAAGGTTGAGGAGCTTCCAACATCTTCCTCTGACATGGGAGCAAACCCGCGCTCAGAATCTGTGGACTCCGGAGTGGAGACAGCCAGCTGTGATGCTCTAAGTCCTGCAACGCCCTGCTCTGTCTCCACAAATAACACCGAAATGGATTTGTTTAACGACCGTCTGTCTCCTGGATTAACATCCCAGTCTCCCGTCCTCTCCTGCTCCGTGGCATCCTCCGCTTCCTCCTCGTCCCCACGCTTGGGTCCCAGTCAATCCGAAGAGGGGTCCACTGGTTTGCACCTAAAATTAGAAAAAGCACTACAAAGGGCCGACTCCAAACTTAGCCACCGCGTGGATGAGCAGCAGAGCCGACGGCCAAAGGCAACTCTCCTGCCTGGACAGCCCACATCGGGGTCAGTGAGATGTCAAAGGTCAGAGAGTTTTGGCCTGAGGAGGCGGGCCGAGCCATCTGTCCCCATCAGGTATTCGTCAGAGAAACATAGGAGACCACTTTCTGTAGGTTATAACCAGCAACGATCACAGGTGAGACACTTCTAAATCTCCAAGGGTTCAAAAAGACAGACGTTAACGGTCAAATGTGAAGTCTTAAATCTGTTTATGCTTTTCTTGCTCAAGTGTCACTATTAGAAACTTGTTTGTGACTCACAGCCACATGTATGGTCTTGCACAGCACAACTTTGTGAACTGCAAAGCAAGGCCTGCCAGAGACTTTGCAGTCTAAAAGTTGCAACACCCACTCAAGGAAGGCATGTCATTAGCCATGTTGTGTCTTTTTCACGCTCATGACTTGTCCATTTGTGGTGAAAGGGATCATAAACCAGTCCGGCCAGGTGACAAATATGAGAATAATGGATGACAGAAGGAGGAAGTTGAGCAACATGCGGGCTTTGAAAAGTATGAGAAAACCAGACAGTTGAGGAGGTTTTTGTTTGTTTGTTTGTTTTGTTGTAAGTTAAATGTCAAATTCCACTCATTCAGATTGCTATAGTGAAGTATCATGGACACAAGGCTAAGAATATGCAAGTAGCTTTTTATTTTCTATTTTTTGTCCCTGGCTGTGTGTGTACTCCTTGTATTGTTATGGTCATGGTGAGATACAACACAAAGATGTCACAAATTTGTCATTCAGGGACTGATGCCGGTACTAATGTTTTCTGGAATGATTGTTAATGTTGGCTACCTTACATGCTTTTGAAAAATGTGACCAAAAACGTGATGAAAATGTGTTGCCTTTGTTTTATATATAGCATTTTGCTGATTAATATGTGCTGGAAATTCTGTTGGTTTTATGGCATTTAGTCAAAAATCGAAACACAAAGACATCAGTGAAGGCAATAAAAGGAGGTTCAAATTTATTGATTTGACATGAAAGTGGAAGATAAACATTTCAATTAAGTATTAATTACTTGCTGTTTTCCATCTCTCTGTATCCATCCTGTCATTTCCGACATGTTTAATTTATGTTCTGCTCCAAGTTTGTCCTAAAGTTTAGAACACTGAAAATGTCCTTGCATTCTTTCATACTACTGAGTGGTGTTTTTGGGGTGCTTATTGTAAGTCATGTATGTCTTTTTTTTCTGTTTCTGAAGCTGTTCTCCCTATTTTTTAGTTATTTGTCTAGATTTTATTTTTTTGGCATGTCAGGGTTCATTTTCCTGCTTACTGACTTGTACAGGGCCTGGGAATAGAGGACAGGAAGGAACTAAGTCCTGGACTCTGCTACTTGGAGCAGGTTTGTCAAATGCTGGAGGATATTGCTCAAAAGCAGATGCACCACCAAGCGTCACAGGAAGAGAGAGAAACCCTCGAGCAACGACAAGACACACAAGTGATCCATGTGAGGACTTTTCAGAAAACCGTTTAAAATTCTGACACAGCAGTTCAGTAAATTGTCACACCTTTGTAACAGCAATCAGATGCCTGATTGCAGCGTGGCATTTTCATATTACTGAAACTGTTGAAACACCAGCCTCCTCACCATTTCATCTTTTTTCCCAAGGCTCTTGAAATTTGTCAGAGCGACTCCAGAGGTGTCGATAAGGACCCATCTACCTGTAATGGGCTTGAAAATACAAAAAATACAGGAAGCATTTCAAATCAACCCCAGCAGCAGAAATCCGGACATTTTCGGCAGAGATCTGTCTCAGACACGACTGTTGCAACGCTTCATTTAAGTGAGCCATCCCATGAGACCCACACTCACCTTTTGTAAACAAAGCATATTCTTGCTCTGGTTTGGAAATAGAGCTCTGGTTTAACAGACCGTGTTTGCTTGGTACAGGGAAGCTGAATGTAAACTGCAGAGGGCAGCAGCTGAGTACACATGATCTGCTGGAAAGGGTTGAGGAGCACAAACAAAGTCAGGTGAGATGCATTCGTGTAAACAGCGACTAAAGGTTTTTCGTCATAAACGCAACATCAAGGATAAGTTATTTCACAAGTGTATCATTGTGATTTGCCTTTTGTGCTTGATTTATTTGTCCTTGTGTTCTCTTTTTTTAAATGTTAGATTTTCTGTATGGAATTCTGTTTGAATCTTTTCAGGATTCAGCAAAGCCGGAGTCAAAAAAGACTAACAAGAGCTGGAAATCAAAAATCGGGTCTTTGAGAAGAGGGGAGACTGCTCTCTTAGACACTCAAAGGTGAGATTTTGTTTTTGTAACTGCACCAATGAGAGGGCAGTATTATCAGTCTCGTATATCTCATGTTATGTGGTGAGAATATGTGTTCTCCTCCAACATGGCAGCCAGCCACACTGGAAGCAGTGGCTCATGGCTAATGCACAGTAGATGGGGAGTTCATTTTGAGACTGTTCATCTGTTCCTCTTGAACATTTTGTGCTCTTTTCATGTAATCTTGCTCACATGCTGCCTCCAGTTTTGAACTACAACTTCTTTTCCTGATCCTTTTTTTCCCGTGTCTTTAAAGCCAACAGATGCAGTCATCTGACAAAAACTCAGCACGCCGACGGTTAAGCCTACTCTTCAGAAGGAGCAGAAAAACTCAGCCTATATAAAAGAAAGGGTAGACATATGTATTTCCATGTTTTGAAAAGTGACTGCTTTTAAAAGTTTTGCCTATAATCTCACGGTGGAAATTCTACCCTGTTTACTTGTTACAATTTGTATGGTAAACTTTACTCAGACAGGGATTTATTTTAAGACTCTGTATGACTGTGAATCAGGGCTGAATATATTGATGTGTTTTTTCTGCCATTTTGTTTAAATCAAAGCATTGAATTGCATTAAGCAAGTGTCTTGTTTAGCTATTTTTCATAGTGGCCATCAACAATATTGGACAGGCTGTACATAAGTTAAAAGTGTATCAGTTTTTTTATGATTATGCAACAGAAAGATAGGCATTATTTGTACATTGATCTATGTATTTTTTTATTGCATTTTATTTAATATGAACATTTAGTCTTGCCATGACAAACTGCTTACATATGATTATAATAGTCATTTAATATCATATGAAATTAATTTGATTATCTTGCTTTTCGGCACTTGGATGTCAGACTTCGAAAATCACTTGACCAAGAGTTCTTCAATTACATAAAACAACTGCAAAATTGTGTTGGCTCAATTCATTTTGGAGATTTATTTGCCTTTGCATGGACATTTTGGAAGGTTAAAAGCTTTATGCTCTGAGGAATGCAGTAAAGGTATGTCATCAGTCAGACTCTAAAAAAACTTAATAAATAAAGAATTTAAGTTAATATTAGTCCTCAAAGAGAAGTTTTATTTTAAGGTAAGTATTCTTCTGATCCTTTTTTTGTTGCTAGGCAACTTCAGTTGTGTGACATCATGGAATTTCTTTTACGATGGGGGCGGAGTCTCTCCTTTGACATCATATAGCATATTCATGACATCATAGACTATAGAATTAAGAACCCAGAATTAAGAACCCAACCACTGTGCACTACACAGAGATCGAACTCACCAGAGAGCGAACACACCTGTTATCACCTCTTATCACGCATCAATTTCAGATCCACTTTGAGATATCATTGAAGAAATCTATCCTTACACGATGGAATCTACAAGAAAAACCGCTAACGTATCCAGGAGACAACCTGAAAAAGTCACCCAGAGTGCTTCTGTTGAAGAAGCCCAAAATCACGCTTGTGAATTTTCTTTCACCACGGTCATGGATGAAGAAAACTTTCCCTCTCTTCAAAAGGAACAGCCTGGCCAACCCAGAAAGACCAACATGGAGAAAGACAAGAAAAAGAAATCAAAAAAACCCAAGGAGCCCGTCACATTTAATTTTGGTGTGAGTATGAACGACATCGAGACGACACTGAAACAAAAAACAGCGCCTTCACAGAGCTGCAGTCAGACAGCCACACCACACTTCCAGGCTGGAACCGAGGATATCAGTAGGCTTAATGCCCTGCTACACAACGCCTCCCAAAAGGAAAGCCAGCTGCAAGAGGAGGTCAAGACCGAGAGGATGAAGGCAAAGGAAGCGCAGAGCTCTGTAGATCAGTTAGTGGCTGAAAACACCAAAATGAAGGACAAACTGACACAATTACAGGCTGAGCTCAAAAGCAGGCAGTGGGACGTCCTTGATGAACACACCGCTCTCAGTAATGAGGTGGATCAGCTGTACAGCAGGTTAAACCATCAGAAGGCTGTAAAAGACAAGGAAATATCTGTCCTCCGCCAAGAACTACAAAAAAAAGAAAAGCTACACAAGGGCGCCACCGAAAAAATCCACCACCTGGAAAGCGCTCTGGAAGCCGAGAAGCGTCGAGCAGTGGAAGCTCCGAGAAGCTTCCATCAGGAGAAGGAGAGCTCTGTGACTCAGTTAAAGGCCAAAAACACAAAAACCAAGGCCGAGCAAACAAAAACACAGAGTGAGCTGACAAACCAGCAAAGTGATGTCGTCCACGAACACACCGCTCTGAAAAAAGAGGTGGAGCAGCTGAAGAACAATCTGAAAGATCTGAAAGCTGAAAAAGAAAAGGTAACGGCTTCCCTCCACCTAGAACTACAAAATAAGGAAAAGCTACACACCGAGAAAATCCACCACCTGGAAACTGCTCTGGAAGCTCAGAAGTGTCGAGCAGTGGAGGCACAGAGAAGCTTCCAAAAAGATAAGGAGTTTTCCATGGCTCATTTAGTGGCTGAAAACACCAAATTCAAGAGCCAACTGAAAAAATTACAGAGTGAGCTCAAAAGCACGCAGTGGGACGTCACCAACGAAAAAACCGCTCTGAAAACTGAGGTGGAGATGCTGCAGAGCAAATTAGACCATCAGAAAGTTCTAAAAGAAAAGGAAGTATCATACCTCCGCCGAGAAGTAGAAAAGAAAGAAAAGCTACACAAGGGCGCCACCGAGAAAATCCACCACCTGGAAACTGCTCTGGAAGCCGAGAAGCGTAGAGCAGTGGAAGCTCAGACCAGCGACCATCAGGAGGAGGAGAGCTCCATGGCTCAGTTACTGGCCGAAAACACAAAAACAAAGGCCGAACTAGTAAAAACACAGACTGAGCTGAAAAACCAGCAAAGTGAAGTCATCGCCGAACACACCGCTCTAAAAAAAGAGGTGGAGCAGCTGAAGAACAATCTGAAATATCTGAAAGCTGAAAAAGAAAAGGAAATATCCTCCCTCCACCTGGAACTAAAAAATAAGGAAAAGCTACACAAGGGCGCCACTGAGAAAATCCACCACCTGGAAACCGCTCTGGAAGCCGAGAAGCGTCGAGCAGTGGAAGCTCAGAGAAGCTTCCATCGGGAGAAGGAGAGCTCCATCACTCAGTTAGTGGCCGAAAACGCAAAAACAAAGGCCGAGCTAGTAAAAACAAAGAGTGAGTTGAAAAACCAGCAGGGGAACATTAACGCCAAACACACCGCTCTGAAAAAAGAGGTGGAGCAGCTGAAGAAAAATCTGAAAGATCAGAAAGCTGAAAAAGAAAAGGAAATGTCTCTCCTTGGCCAAGAACTACAAAAAAAGGAAAAGCTACACAAGGTCACCACTGACAAAATCCACCACCTGGAAACTGCTCTTGAAGCTGAGAAGTGTCAGGCAGTGGAAACTCAGAGAAGCTTGGATCAGGAAAAGGAGGAAAACTCAAAAACAAAGGCCACTCTGATTCAAATTGAAAAGGATTTTGAGGAGGAGAAACATCAGTGGGAGCAGGAGAAGACCAGTCTTCTGGAGGAACAGGACAAAGCAGCAACCGCCATGAAAGAAGCTGTGACTGAGACAGAGAACATTCTGGAAAAGGAGAGACAGCAGTGGCAAGAAGAGAAGTCCTGCCTCCATGAGTCTTTGTCAACTATGAATGAGACCATTGCGCAAAAAGAAGAGGAGAGGAAGCAGGCCACAGAAAGACTAATGGAGAGAATTCTAGGTGTGGAACTACTGATGAAGAACATGTCAGAAAAGAAACCAAAGAGGAGATCCCTCAAGACACGCTTTCTCCAACTTTTTAAGTGACCCAGCAGGAGCAGAGCAAGTCTGACCTCTTCTGGAAACTCTACTCTTTGCATATGAGCAGGGAAATTTATTGCTATCTTATTGCTTGTTGCTATTCTTATTGTTATCATTACTGCTAGCACTGCTAGCATCATCGTTGTCATTTTTCATCCAGTCTACATGTTACTGTGTAGGCTGCCTCTCTCTTGCCCTCTCTTTCTTTCACCCCCAACCGGCCGAGGCAGATGGCCGCCCACCTTGAGCCATGGTTCTGCTCAAGGTTTCTGCCTGTTAACAGGAAGTTTTTCCTCGCCTGTGTCGCCTAGTGCTTGCTCTTGGTGGGAATTGTTGGGCTTCTGTAATTAACTTTAGAGTAGGGTCTGACCTGCTCTGTTTGGAAAGCGCTGTGAGATAACTGTTGTGATGTGGCGCTATATAAATACAATTGAATTGAATTGAATTAAATTTAATTGAATTGAATCCAATTGAATTGAAAACACAGCAACATCTCCACAGTGAAATCTAAACAACCACAATTGTTTCTTAGTATTCTTAAAGTGGAGTTCTTACTCCGGGAAGGGAGAAAAACAAACTTTCAAATTCTTTCAAAGACCAGATAGGTAGTTTGATGAATATAGAACAACCTCCAGTTTAAAAATTCCATCGGAATCTGGAGCAGCCATGACGTTCTAGAACATTCTTTCCAGAATGTTTCTTTTGGAGACTCAGTCGAGAGGAGTGGGTCCTGTGTCCATGGCTAAATAGACTCTTTGCAGCCTACATAGATCAAAAGAGGTCTCTACTCGGCCGACCAAAATGGTCGACCAAATGTAAATGGTCAGTTGACTTGCATCCACCTTCTGTCAATTTTTCAAATAAAAAAACCTCTAAAATAATACTGAGTTTCATATCATAATTTTGTATTTTTTCCTCTGTTAAAATGTCCTTTTATACAAATCGTTATATGCAATTATTTAAATATGGTTCTCTCAATGCCTTCACTGAGTTCACTGTTTTACAAAGTTAGAGAAGCAAGTGGTCAAATCAATGTATTGGTAATTGCAATTCTATTATAGGAAAACTTGCAACTCAGCTATTATAGCTAACATAACGAAGTGCATTTAATGATAAAGGCCAGATCTATTGTTCATGGTCTAAATACTTACACCACAGACAGTCATAAGGGTATAGCTTAACAGTACATGTGAGCTTGATGGCTGGCATTATAAGGTGAATGGATTTAGAAAAATGTCAATAAATGAGCTCTGTGCCGTGTTGCTGTGTTGCAAAATGGCATGCAGTTAATAAATAATTGATGCTCTTGGGCAGAAACAATTCTGTTTTTTCTGTCAGGTAATATTGTGTCACTGGAAGGGGGAAGGAGCTTATTAAACAATACATATCAAGTCAGTGAAATATGAAATAACAGTGATCCGGTTATCTCTTATCTGTAAAGTGTTTACCTTTCAAATTTTCCCTGAAAAGACGACAAAATGATTACTTCCGTAATATTCCTCTAAGAAAGCCTTTGTAAGTTTCATTAGCAATAATCTCTCATGACAGAGGAGAACAAGTGCAGGCCACAACGGTGTACTTAGCTCATTTATTTAATCTTTATTCACCTAGGTTGGGGGGGACAGACTTCCCCTGGCATTCCCATGTAAAGAGATGTCATGACAAACACGTCCAACCAAATGAGAAAGGGTGAATTAGTTTCCAGTCCATACATAAAATACATTTATTTACCATATAGACCGAGTCACCAGCATCCATTAGTCCCACACAGCATCCATCTGTGCTATTAAATATAGAGAGTTAACATCTATGGAGGGAGATAATCACTGCATGTGTGTGAGAAGGGGTTTGGCAGAGAGGGTTTAGCTTATAGTTGACGAGAAAGGTGGTGGGGAGCAGCATCGAGTCAAGCCTGCAGGGGCCCCCCTTGTCTACATGATGCCACAGGAGGACAAGGGGTTGGCGATCTGGCAGGTGCAGGCTGACTGGCAGTATTGACGCACAGTCTGGTAGCAGCTGCGGTCGGCCTCCCCGCCCCACTGCACGGGCCCGTTGGGGTCAGAGGGCAAGCGGCTCAGAATGCTGGTGTTGATGGCCAGGGCAGCCAGGCCATAGTCAGTGAAGAGCACCGTCTCACGGCGGCACGTGGGGCAGGAGATGAACTTGTACTTGGGACAGGACTCGTAGAGGATCTGCAGGCACTCCTCGCACACCGAGTGCAGGCAGGAGAGGATGCGCGGACGCTTCCCGGCAAAGTTGTAAGTGTGACCGCAGGTGGGGCAGTCCAGGGGCTCGCAGGGCATGACGGGCCCCGAGGAAGAGGACGAGGAAGTGGAGGAGGAGGTGGAGGAGGAGCGCAGCACGTACTGGTTGACTATGACGTCGTCCATCTTGTAGTGGAACTGGTGGTAGCAGATTTCGTTGGCACTGGATTTACGCTGCGCCAGGAAGCTCTGCTCCCTGCGCATCACTGAGGCCGGGGGAGACACCATCGGTCTCGAGGAACCCACCATGTCCAGGGTCAGGTCACTGCAGGCCTGGTTGACGATGATTTCCCCCTCGCCGCCGCCGTCCCACGCCACTCTGGGTGGCGGAGCATACCGCGGCTGGGTGACGGGCACGGGGCACTCTCTGGGAAACTTCTCCGATTGGATTATTTTGACGGTGTCCATGGGGATGGCGATTGGCTGACGTCTGAGGCAGGACATTCGCACTCCTCAGGAGATGTGAGAGAGAAGGGCTGGAGCTCTGATCAGAACTGCACACCCCTGCCAAGTTCGGCGCAAAAGTAAGGTTGGACTCCTACTTCGAAGTCAGCCATTAGAGGGGACATGGGGGCGGATTGTTCCCTTCATGTTTCCCTCTAAACCCCCCCCTGGCGGGTAAAACTGTCAGCCTGAGTCTTTATGAGGAAAAAACTGATAGAACAGTTCAGCCAGAGCAACACAATACTTTAGTCTTATTCAGAGATGGCTAATTTATAGAGATGATTTCACAATCCAGTTTACTTTAACCGACCAGTGTTCACTACTAAAGATGGCTTTTTGTTGTTTCGAGTTGAGCTGTTTCTGATCAATCCCTATAGCACACACAGAGATTTGCAACACTTCAGCACAAATATATGTCCTCACTCGGTTATTACCACTATAACACAATATTTTATGTCATACGTGCACACAAATGCTCGAATATGTACATACAGCACAACTTGGTGGATTTCTGCATTCACAGAGTGTGTTCAGAATGATTACAGGCAGTTCAGAAAGGTCCAAGAGGTGTTGTCGGAGACTATATCCTGTGCTCCGCTTGGCCGTTTCTCACCCAAACAAGTTCATGTTTTAAGTGGCTGCTGTGTCATATATTGACTGGAGGGTGTGAAAAAAAAGACATAACACCCTTCAGTATTTATCTTGCTCTTGGTCCAGTTTGGTCAAGAGGAGACCTTGTGTGATCCCTGCCCTCAGCTTGTTGATAAGAGGAGGGGAGGAAGTCTTTATTTTTGGGAGGTGAACTACGATGCGTAAGAGTGATGGTGGAACAACTCCTTTAAACTCCAGGACCTCTTGAATTCCAGAGATGTGGGAGTGAAGAGGTATCAGATAGAAGTCAAAGCAGAGACAATGACCTCTGCTTGATGAAAACCTCTCCGCTTGTCTTTAAAAATCCTTTGGTCCATTTACCTGTAAGAAAAAGAGAAAATATATATGTAACAAATTGCTGCCTGTCTTATGTAATTACAAAGGTAAATATTCATTATGTTTCCTTGATTCAAAACAGTTGAACTGTTTCTGTTGGCCATACTTCAGAAAGATGAATTGGAATTCACTTTTATCTGTTTGGAAATCTGTTTCCTTGTATCTTATCTGATGGTAAAACGATGGCAGGGTAGTTCGGTTGGAGGAAAAATAAATAGTCCTAATTCCTTTTAAATCTTGGCTCAGTTGTTGTTTCTTCGAAGACTGAGCTAATCAATGTGGTGACACATGCTGTGGGGGTTGCACGGGAAGAACACTTCATTTGTCAAAAAATATAATTTGGTATCCAGTATGAAGATTAATAACAGCTTTTCTTTAGAAACCTGATTATTTCATTGAATAAATCGTTCATTCTGTAGAAATGAAGCAACAGCAGCTGTGGCCTGTCATAGAGGGGTTAACTAAATCATGATGTCTGGCATTGAGAACATATTGTGCAAATATATAATCACAGTTGGTGATGCATCTTAAATCTATATGTTTAGAAATAGATATTTAAAAAAAAAACTGTCTGTAACTCCCAGTACGAGATACATTTGTAATAGTATGACCAGGCTTCTATGTTTGCAGGGTCCTAAAAGCACGGGGTGGGTCAGATTTGACCTGAAAGCAGAGGGAGGGTGAAAGTACAAAAACAGAATTGTGAATTAGAGACCATTGAAACCTGAGCAAAAAATTCCCCACACAACACAGAAACAGTTTTCACAGGTACGCTAATCCATACATTAGCGACACAATCAGAAAAAAGACTTGTGCCAGTCAACTGTATTAATCCCCGTTTTTTCCCCCGGATACAAACAGTACACTCCATCAGTGAAAACATAGACTAGATTAAATGAACGGAAATAGCATGTTCCCACATGGCTGCAGAGAACCTTTAATAAATGTCATTTAGTTTTTATGAATTACTGCTTCATCCTGTGAATGACTGAGGACAGTCATTAGTTTCCATAAACACAACTCCGGTTTGCCAGAACTGCAGATGTAAGTGGAATTTCTGAACAAGATAAGAAACACAGAAAACAACACAAGAAGTTGGATTTACTTGTCCGTCGCCAGCTTACACATCCCCTCACTCTGTTTGTCTGCATTTTTAGATTAAACAATCAATACTACCTAGAGGTTAGAAACTTTTTATTTTGGCTCAGTATTGGGTGGGGGCGGGAGGCTTCATACAGAATATTTTTAAATTAAATTCAATTTTGAATATAAAAAAAAAAACAACTATGAAAAAAGTGCAGAATCTTTACAGAAAAAATGTAATGGCCTCTGACTGTGCTTCTCTCTAAAAACAGAAAACGCAAAATGCTTAAGTGTTATGTGGGTGTAACCGATTGCGACACATTGTGCTTCCCTTCTGGTCATTCTTTCTGCCTCTCATCAACACTCATCATTTTGTGAGCTGCGTTGGTTCGACTCTAACATGCGTAGGAACAGGTTCCAATCTGGATAAAGGGTTTGTGTCATACTGCGTGTGGGTTTGTGCAAAAAATTTACAGATGAACGTTTTTAACTTCACCCATCCAACAACAGCCCAATTGCAGAACAGGAAGGATGGCATGTCTTTTATTCTCTGCTTGTCTGTCGACAGTGATGATTCATTACAGAAAAAAAAAAACTGAGCAGAGGAGGTGACCTACATGGTGTGGAGGAGAGACAGAGAAGGGAAAATGAGCGAGGAGAGAAAGCTCAGCACAGGTTCTGGCTTCTATTTATGGCTTGTTTATCTGCGCACTTCGTCGTGGTTTCCTGCCCCCAACCTTTGCAGAAGCATCACACCAAATGAGAAAGATGAGCCTTTTTCTCAACGGGCGGAAATGCTCCAGTTCATGCGATCTAGTGAACCTGTTTCAGAAGCTTTTCTAATGTATTTTTCATCCATTACTCTTTTGGCATAATTGTATGTTGCTGAACACAGAGATAGTAGCGAGCATGACTCAAAATCTCATCAATCACTCGCTGTCAACCAAATGTTCCCAGCCAGCTCTGCAGGGCTGTAACACTTCGCCTAAAATAGACAGCTTTTCTCTCATCCCCATAAAAGATACTAACAAATGAAAAATACGTTCAGTTTTTGACTGCAAGATTTTGTCGGAATACCTTGGGTTCTGGCGCTCTGTGGGTATTAAAAGCACACTATCCCACCGAGACATCCTGCCACATTGCAAAGTTTGTTAGCCTTGAAAATTTAAAAAGAGCCCACCGCTCTACCTACAAACTCCTAAGATGTCCAGTACATTGGACATTAATGATAGGCTTGGAAGTAAAATTTTAACAAACAAAAACCAAAACAAGATTTCCCAGGATGCCCCAGAGGTCCAATGTTAATACACTGACAGGTCAGAGCTACTTTGTTTGATAAATGCAGGTATATTGCAATAGCACTTTTCATGTTACAGCTTTAAAATGTAAATTCAAGGCATCAAAAATGGTGTTAACATGGCAATTCAGGGCTCGTGAAGGGACTACCTTTGTTATACTCATGTTCAAAAGTAAAGAAACAATTTACACTAATTGGTCAAAGAAAATTTTTTTAAAGCCTTGAATGCCCACATTTAAAGGACAAAGGCATGTTGTAAAAAGAAATTGTCTGATAATGGCAGTGGTCTAGTTACTACAGCTATAAGGTTGTGTGAGAGGGCTGCGGGACATGAAGCAGCTAAAATTACCCTCTAATTTGGCGACAGTGATATGAAAACGGCTGATAACTGATGGAGGCTGTATGCTGATGGGCCTGCTTTGGCTCAGCCTCCTCCCAATCCACAGAGCTCGCTCCAGTTATGTAAGGGGCTCATCTTCATCCCAGCCTCCATATTAAAGCCGCGTAAACTGCTTCGGCGCTCCGCGTACTTTATTCTCACCCATAAGGGCAACGGCGGAGGTGATACAGCAGCAAGCTGTGTCAGAAGCCTGGGGCAGACGAACTGCCTTTGTATGCATACACAGCCCGGGATCATCTTCCGGCAGAGGAATTATTACACTAATGAAATCATGGCAGGCATTTGACCTCTTCATCACAAGCGAAACGGGAAGAGGAGCGCTGACCACAGAGATGTCAGAGGAGTCTGCCTCAGCAGCAAATTCCTCATACCATTAAACACACACAGAGCTGCATTCAACATTTTAGAGCCAAACACACTAACACACACACACACCCAGAACATTCTCACCCTCGGACACCTCCCCATTACATTCAGGGATCCACCCTGTGCATTCCTGCAGACGCACAAACAAACTGATAACGAGCTGATGTGAGGAGCTAAATTTGATGCATTTAAACGTGACTACTGCGTGATGGAGAGGAGATAAACACACAGAGCTCCAAACAACCGGAACATTCCTGTGATATCGTGCTCCCAACATGTGCCTTTTAACACACATGCCTTCACACTCACAATCAGCTCTAGTGGTCAACATGACTGGGTCCACCTGTGTGGGCCGGTGTGCAGGAGGAGGGCACCATGTTCTGAATGAGTCACAGACACAGTGCGCATGACTCCGTCTCCCTGTCCGTTCATCTCGTTTTTCTCATTGAAAGATCGGCCTGCCTCTGGCCCGCTCTCCCTCTTGTCATCCTCCACCATCTATCTATCCGTCTGTAAACTGGCATGGACAGAGCAGAGGGTGTGGGTCTTTGTGCCCCTATGCAACATGCCAGCAGTATGTCAAGTATGCAAGCTATGCTGAGACTTGAACTCACATTCAAACAGTGGATGGTAAAAAAAAAAAAAAAAAAACTAACAAAAAACCCATCTCTTGTGCGACCTGTGTGGAATATTATGTAGGATTTGGTTTACGTAATATGCCATGACCTTAGCGTGATCATGACCTGAGGACAAATCCCCAGATTTACTGTATCCTTGCCAGCGGCATATTTCGCTGTGAATCAACAAAACAACAAAGGTGGATTTGCCTCTGTGGCAAAGTGGTTAGTGCACCTCGGGAGCTGTATCTCATAAATACGCATGGTATATGTGTGTCATGTTTGTTTTGTTTTCATATTTCATCACAAGGAAAATAATTATCATGGTTTTTATTCAATATCTTTAATATCATACCTTTGGCCACTTGCCTCTATTCATTTTTTAAATAAAGGAAAAATGACTGTGGCTCTTTCTAATATTCAAACACAACTTAATATCTTTCACAATTTCTAGATCCATATATGGTGCTGCCGTTTATCCATCCGTCCTGTTTGCAGTCAAATGCGCAGTCAGTGTTTGCTTTATTTTCAATGGGCGCACTGTGTTCAGTGGTTGTGTGGAGAGGTGTTGATTTAAATAATTCAACCCGCTGTCATTCATGGCAGACATCGGCCATTTTGCCTCACAATTCATTACAGCCAAGTGCTCTTTGTTCTCGTCTGTGTTGCTCCCACAGCAACATGGCAGAAGTGCATATGTGCCAGCAGAAAAATGAAAGCAATAATAACTCCCTGATGGAGAGCTCATCGAAGATTCATGAGGGAAAAGCTCAGCAAATGGCCATCTCTTCAATAACGACGGCGGAGTGATTAAATCAACCCACGATGGCTGTCTCAGCACACGTTTAAGGGTCGACGGCATCGCTTATGCTTTGAGCTCGATAAGGGACTCAGGTACGAAAGGAGAGATGTGGCCAAAACATTTGGGCTGGGTGACATTGGGAGGCTTTAGCGTGCAGCGTTGCACATGTGGGAGGGGTGCGCTCAGAAGCACCGGTTATGCAATCGCATCAGGCTGTACCAAGAGCCCCAACTGCAGCACCGACATATATATACGGCCAACATAGAGACCTCTCGGTGTTGCTGACAGCTACAGAACAGTCGGTTCCTGCTTGGTTACCCCCACCCCGCCGTCTGTCTACGCAGAGGTATGTCAAATGTCATGGAGACTAAAAAACCTTCAGGACCGCGTCTCCACCCAGACACCATGAGTCCGTTTCCACCTGGTGTTTTGTGGTCTGCGCAGGCAAGTCGGCGCACCGTTGTGGGCAAGCGTGTGTGCCTCCGCGTGTTTGTGTGGGAGCCCGGAGCGTGGATGACCATGATGCAACGACAAAGCAAATCCTAGCTCTGGCACTCAAAAAAAAAAAAAAAAAGCAGAAAGATCCCGCTGCCATTGCTCACTGCTCACACAAAAGACACAGAAAGAAAAAAATCCCCCCACCAAAGTGGTTCAGATGAGGCCACACCTCAGGGATCATGCAGATACAAATGATGAAAATTTCACTCTGGATTACACACAAAACAGACAAAGCCACAGCCTCACCTGTGTGCTTGCGCACCTCGCTTGTGACAGTCCTGTCTTGTTTTCTTCTGCTCCTGTTTTTGGCTGTCGAGTCGGCCTCGTTATCATAGGGGACTCTGTCTCCAGCCCGTTGGATTCTGGAAGCTTCAACAACATGGAGGGGATGTAAGATGGAGGAATCTCTGGCCAGGTGGGCACATCACGCTGCTGTCGTCAGCCTCCGCATCCTCCGTTCCACCTCTCTCCCGGCCTTTCCCCTTCTCCGAGCAGCAGCTAAGCATCTCTCTCCGCTATCTTTTCATCCATCCCCCTTTTTTCCTCCTTCTTCTTCTGCTTCTTCTTCTTCTCACAAATGATTCAGCTCGGCCTGGGCAGCAACCTGAGCTTCTGCTCTCTCATTTGTCCTCTTCTCTTTCCTCCTTTCCTGTGTGTCTGCCTCTTTCTTTTGGTGGTCTTCAGGTAAATCTCTCTCCTATCCTTCTTCCCCTCCCTTCTGCTGTTATCTCTCAGTCGTTCATTACTGCTCTTTCTCCTCCACCGTCTGTTCCAGTCAGTGCACCTCACAGTCACACATGCGCAGTGTTTTCACACATACATGCACACACACTCACACACACATGCTCAGTCTCTGCTGCGCTTCTGGCTCCCTCCTTACGCATGTGGCTTATTTTGCCTGCCTGCCTGCCCCCTCCTCTTCCTCTCTCTCTCTCTCTCTCTCTCTCTCTTTCTCTCTCACACACACAGCACCTCTCTCTCTCTTGTTCGCTCTCTCTCACTGCAGCACACACTGCAGTGCCTCTGCAGGCGGGATCACGTTTGCTCGTCGCCAGAGAAAATATTTCAGCCAATCAGGACGCTACTCCCCACCCCCATCTCGACGCACACACACTCACAAGCCTTCTGAGCGATGAAAGCACCAAAAGCTATTAATCATAATTCATACGCACACATATGGTTATGGGCACCAGCCAGGCACAGGAAACACAGGAGGGCGGTGAATACAAAGCTCATCCAGAGATGGACAACGCAAATGTATCTCCAAAACAACTTTGTATGCTTTGCAAAAACAGATCCATCATCAAAGACCACATTTTGTGTACACGTGTTTGCAAAAATGGAAGCCTAGTAGGACCTTAAAGCCAAACTGTTACTAATGCGGTACGGACATTTTCTTTCTCATTCATCTGCAGTTTTAAAAAGAAAAGAGAAATGTCTCCTGACTTTTCACTGACAGCATCCTAAGCTCCGTAAATAGATCCATGCATTCAGCAATGTTGCATAACACAGATTTTGATGGGTTTTGTGTTGACTCAAGCTTCCAAGCTGACCCATTCCTAATCCTTAGATCCAAGTGAAAAAAGCCAAAGCATGACATGAATTTTTAGATAACACAAGAGGTGGGTAATTATATAATGTTAGCGTTTAATGCATAATGCAGTGGTGACAGGGGGAAATTGTTAGAGGATTTTCACCCTCACATGGTAAGAGTTAGCTCTACAAACTTCCAAAACTGTATGTGGAAGAGCCTCTGCAAGTGCTTACTCAGTACTGCTGTAACACCATGAAGGTTTCTCAAATTACAGTTTGTATGCACCTCTGCCATCGGTTTTTAGATTAAGTAAGACATTCCCATGATGCACCAACATGTGAAATTTACAGTTTTCACTAAGAGGGATTTGATTTTTTCAAATAAAGTTTGAGTTCAGCCTTTTCGTAAAAATGTGGACATCCATCACATTTGTTTTTAAGATGTCTTTTACATGCTTTTGAGACCACCAAATTGAATTACTCCTCAGCCCAATAAGTCTTGATCAGACACTGAGTTTTAATTTATGGAAATGTAGTTCACAACATCACTTTTTTCTGAGGTGTAAAAAAAAAGAAAAGAAAAAGTAAAGAAAAGATCAATTAAAAAATAATTGAAAGTTACAGTTCTAAGTTGCTCTCTCGGGTGGAAATGTAATATTATTAAATTAATAAGTTTGAATAAAGAAAAAATGCTCATCCAAAATTTTGATTAATTGCATTTAATTGATCCTTAAATCACTACTATCCCGACTTCTCATTGTTTTTTACTTTGATGGATAAAGCAAATAAGTTTGCTTCTGCAGCTTTTATCACTTAAAAGCTTAGCAATGCTTTCAGCTAGCTGCAGTTCAAATCATTCAAGACTGGACCAAAACCAATAATTTTTTCAAGTTGTTTGAGGGTCATTAAACCAAGACCTTTAGAAATGTATCTGTGAGTGTGGTTACAACAGAATGAGGACGGTTTGTACAAACTGAGGTTTATGGCAAAGTCAAGGCCATGTGGGATATTTTCTCTTGTAAGACTTTACTGTAGTTTCATAATCTGATGTGTAGGTGGGACGTAGCCATGTCAGGCAACTATAATTGGTCTTTTTAACAGAGGTTTATTGGCTTTGTGTGAATAAGAAGGTGTTCAGCCAAAAAAAAGGGAAAAACAACTGGAAATTAAACTATTCAAGCAAAACCAACTTTACCACTTGCTGCTAGAATGATAAAGTGTGCTGTTGATATCGAGCTTGTCTGAAGTGTCTCTCTTTCAACATTTCAAATAAACAGTCAAGCAGCTCTTGTGCACTCCAGATAGCATCTGAAATGTTAAATGGCTGTTCATCACATCACGTTTAACGTATACAGAAATAAGACAGCACATCTAAGATGTTACCTGTACTGACTCGGACAATGTGGCCTAACTTGCATTCAACAATTTGCTTTGGGACAAAATTAAAAGTTTCGCCAAAGCAAAAATGATACATGTAGGTCCAGAGACTCTTGTGATCATTGCTTGAATTTGTCTGTTTTTTTCTGAAAAAAACTAATTGGACATGAAATGTTTTGGATGTGGTTGCTGTATGGTGAGCAACAGAGTTATAGGTACAGGTAACACAGGTAGTAGTTTTTCAAAGCATGAAAATTACAGATGTAATGAATAACCCGAAATCAAAGTTCGTCTCTGTATTCTTGAAACTGAAATATGAAATTCAAGAGAAACATACTCGCTGTTCATGATATTTTTACAGTCAATAAAGAGGGGTGGCAAGAAACCGTTTTAGGATGTAGTCATAAAAATAAAAATACTGTTTTACCGATAAGAAAGACGCAGCAAGCTGAACTTTAACAGTTTTTTCATGCTTGGTCATGACTTGGATCAGCAGAATCACTGCCAAACAAAGCTTTCAGCTAGAAATAAATTGCAAACGACATAAAACAAGGTGGGACTGCAGAGATAAGCCTCAGGGGTCAAAGACAACACTTTCAAACCAGAATTCTCAAGACATCCAACAGCAGCACTTCTATTACTGCTAATCGGACTGTGTGCATTAACCAAGGTGTTAGTTATAAAACCAAGATAATACCATAAGGATCTTTTATTAAGTTACACGTACATCTTCCTGGAAATAACTGATTGATTGCATTTGTCCTTAGCCTTTTTTTATTTAGTCAATAAAAGTATAATAAAAGTATAATTTATGACACTGTGAATGAGACTGAGTCGTAATGTTTTACATTTTACATATTGAACACAAACAGCAAACCACTAGAGGGGAGCAAAGATAAACCCGAGTGCTGTGTGTCATTTTACATCCCCTCCTCCCTGGAAAGGTTCTCATTCATTAACACCTAAAACAACAGAGGGTAAGGTGCTTTGGAGTAAAAAGTGTGAGGACTCGTGGACTTTGAACACATGAAATGAGACAACATAACTGAAGTTTATGTGAGGTAGCACATGGGTACATTCTAAGAGAATTTACAGTCCTCCCTTCTGTCCACCATCAGTTACACATTACAAGTGCTCACATCTAGTGTGATTCAATGAGTGTTTTTTCTACTTAATGCATATTTGGAGTTTGAAAAGTTTTCATACCACTCTTGTAAACTCTTCCTAAATTAGGAGATGCTAATGCCTGCAGTTAGAGTGATTAAGCATTATGGATACAATACCAGTCAAATCTTTGGACTCCTTTTTACACCTAATTTGAAAAAGTCAATGTGTCCTAACTTTTGAGTTAAAAGTCTCTTCAAGGTTATATTAAATATCTTTTTTATATTACAGCTTTCATTTCCAACCAGTAAAAACAAAATGTGCTCTTTTCAGGTGTAGACTTTCATGAGTCAACCTGAATCATTCATGAGCTGCTCTTTTGTATTTCGTTACCTTCATTGTTTCTATTCACAAAAAGAAAGAAAAAAGCACAAAGAATAAAATTCATTCAGTCGTTGACCCAGGGACAGCTACAGATTGTATAAGCAAAGCGAATGCATCAATATTTCTGGACTGTTTAACATGATGCCTGGGTGAATGTATTACAACACGGTTTACTTTACATGACAAATACCAGGAAGTTACAGAGAATTTGAATGCGTTATGGGAAAATACATGTTATATCCTGGTACAGATCAATAGCCTTTTGACAGTAGAGTAGTAAGTTAATTATCTTATTTGAGAGGTTTGAAGACTACTTTACAGTTTGTTTTGGTCATAAATCATATCTATACAGTATAAATATCCTGTTTCTTAAACATAACTTACAGTGTCTGTGATTGATTGAAGTCAGTTGAGCTTCTCTAACCAAAGAAGCCATGAAAGAACACAGCCACACATAGGAGGATGATGGCATTGGCGTTGACGACGTTCCTCCAAAGGGGCACCTCTGTGGTATCTGTGAGCTGCTTTTTTAATTCTTCCTCCTCCTCTGCGCTAAGTTTCGGACCTTTCTTCTGCTCCAGTCCGCAGAAACACATCACTGCTTTCTTGCAGAAGCCCATGTCTTCCTCGGGTTCTGTTATACAGGCAGAGAAAGAAATGTGTTTGTATCTAAATCATACACAAAGGTATCTTTACTTAACAGACAGTCTACACATGTCTGCTCATTTACCCTCTATTTCCATGCCGTTATCTTTATCATCAACCCAGTCGTCCTTCTCGATGTCTATCCTCTCCTCTGTGCGATTCCTCAGGCTCCAACACAGTCGGTACAGCTAGGTAAAACAGCAATATTTGTGAAAAACATTTTTATTATCTGCACGGTTTGTTCGTCTTCCTTTTCTTCCAGAAATATACAAAGTGTCGAATGTTCTCAAGCTAGCTAGGTTTCTTACTTTGACCTGAACTGAACACAGTGGGTTTGAGAGTGTTTGTTAGTGAGGTATTACTGATTAGGAATGTAACGGATTAGTGATTCCTTATCTCACAGCAGTCACGTACATGCTTGTCGTCAATGGGCTTGGTACATAGCGAGATTCCAATAATGAGGATGCAGGAGATAACGAACAGAATGATGGCGAAGTAGAGGTAGTGCACTCCACAAATTATAGTTGGACAATTGCTGGGATTATTGCAGCTGCCTGTCCCGTACACGAACTCTGCGATCATCCTGGACAAGCCAATCAACAGGCCAATTATGAGCCCATAAAAGGCGCCCTAAAGAAGGAAACACAAAGAGCAGAAAAGTCAGCACTTAAGCCCGAAGCACATTAAAAGAGGTTGAGCACAACATTTGACCACGTTATACTATCACTACATGAACGTGGGGAAAAAGCTACTATTGCAGCCATGGTGACCTGCTAAACACAGGGGTATATGTTTTTCCTTTAAAAATAATTGAAGAGGAAACTCACAGGTTCATTGACACGTTTGCAAAAGATAGCAAGCACGAAGACCGCTGCAACAGGAGGTGCAAGATAGCTGGTAATGGACTGGATATAGTCGAACAGCTGACCACTCTGGGCTGACTGCACCACAGGGATCCATGCTATGCTCACTCCAATCAGGGCCAGGATAAACACTCTATATACAGGAGAAAACATTCAAGGAGCAACAGCTTTTGTTAAGAATTTCTGCATCATATAAATAACAAAAATCAACAAAAAATCTGTTTTACCTGCCAGCAATCATGAGTTCCCTCTCTTTGGCGGAGGAACGGATTTTGGTGTATATATCCATGGTGAAGAGAGTACTGGCACTGTTGAAGATGGACGTAAGGGAGCTCATCAGAGAAGCCAGCATCACAGACAGCATCAAACCTCGCAGGCCTGAATCGGACAGAGCAGCAGTAATTCAGGGCAGGATGAGGAAAATGGGAAAAACGTAAGTTTTATTCCAGTTTCATCTAACAAAAGGAGTTAATGCACCCACCATTGGGCATGAGATCCACCACCAGTTTGGGATAAGCAATGTTAGTGCATCCCACACTGGCGCCACAGTATTTCTGACATTCATCCGGGTCCACGCAAGCCACCACGTCTAAGGGGAAGTTTACAGAATTAGCAGTATATGACATTTTATATCCACCATTGAATCTGTGTGAAGATATTTTCAAGTTACACAGGTTCTTTAAGTCAGGGAACTTAGCCTATGGATATCCAAAGGAAAACTTGGAAAACCACAATGTACACACCTGGATAAAGAATCCTGCTGATCATCCCAGGAAAAACCATGAGAAACATGGGCAACAGCTTCAGGTAGCCACATAAGATACAACCTCCTTTAACATGAGACAGATTCTTGGCTGAGAGGCAACGCTGGACGATCACCTACAGAGAAAGACCCATGAATCGTTGTTAAGTCCAACGTACTGCATTCCAATGATAATTAAATTGAGCACCAAAAGTATTACAAAAAATGCATGTAATCTAAAGTGACGTTTCTTGAGAATTAGACGTGTTGTACTGCACTTTTATCTAATATTTTATCATATTTTAATGCATTACAGGCTTTTTCTCCCACTGGTTGTTTGGCACATTTGTGCGTCACATGAACAAAACAAAAGGATGACTGGGTGACGCTCATTAGACACACTGCACATTAAACAGAAGGGCAGATGGATCGATCTGATGCTGAGTAAACAGCACATGCAGTTCTTAATACATGCATTCGCTCGTGTTTCAGTCTTTGTGAGCCGCGTTAGCCCTACTTAGCAACGAGCGCGAAAATATCCTATAAGAAAATGTTTGACTTGCAGAGACGCACAGCGTCACTTCCAGCTAAAAGAAAAACAAGCATTGGTGTTTTATGAACTGGGCCATAGCCTGTTTGCAGGGACAGATTTTGTTTCTTGGCAACTAAATACACAAGTCCACAATGAGGTCATCAGATGACTGAACTAAATGTGTGAGGAGAATTGTGATACAAATCATGGGCTGTGCTTTTACTTCAAAAGCTCTTTAGCTAGGTCGTACAAAGGTTAAACTGAATCTTTGTCTCAAAAAGTATTTTGATTTGGTTACTGAATGGATGTCATCAGATAATACACCAAACAAGCAAGGTGAACTGTGTTTTCACATAAAATGCCGCGCGCACTGTATTAATTTCAGAGCCTGTCTATGTCTGTATGTCCTGGGATACCAAAGTCAGTCTTTGCCAAAAAAGCGGAAAACATTACAAGGCTGGAAATTCTAAAATAAGTTCTCCTTTGGGAGAAGCTAAGTAGTCGCATCCTGGTTAAGAGAATCTGGCAAATCTCAGCAAATCACCTTAGATACAAAGAAAGACACACTTTGGCAACCTGAAGTTTTTTTACGGGGGTGTACATACACTTCTTTGCTGCCAGTTATCTCTTTCTCTAATTTAACAGTACTGCCTGGGCTCTTCATCTTATATATGCATCATCCATCCAGCTTTACACCTGTAATAGCCAGCTAAGTCATGGAAATCTTTTTGTAGACCTCAGATCTGAAGCCTGAGTTAAAAAGTTACATTTTTGGGGCTCTTTCCTCCACTCTGTTTCCCACCCCTACGGTAAGCACGGCACATATAACATCTTATGTCACAAGCCTTTAAATAGCAAGGATTTGTGTCCATGTGTGGACAACAACAGTACAACTGTATTAATGGTAACGCAACAGTCCGCTGCTTTACTGACCTGATCGGTGCACCAGTACCAGGCAGCCTGAATGGTGAGTCCAAACACCAGGCCGGGCCACGGCAGATCTCCTGTAATTGGGTCTCTGAAAATATGGAAGGAGTCTGCCCGAGGTTGATAGCATGATGGGTCTACGCCGCCCGTGATATTGGGGACTGCTTGCATGTAGAGGGTTTGGAAGTTGTCATATCCTCCCACCTCAGTGAAAGCTGAAAGTTGGTGGTCAGATCATCTTAGACTTGGTAAAACTCTATCAAGAATATTCAGAATTTAAATCCAATAGGAAGAAAAGTTACCAAAGCCCATAAGAATGAAGGATCCAACAACCATTATGATAGTCTGTAGGGTGTCGGTATATATCACAGCAGCCAGTCCACCTGAGATAAAACAAAACATATCATTTATGTCTAAAGGTTTGATTAAAAAACATTGACAGTATTGTACCTAGTAGAGAGAAAAATCTTATTGTGCTTTTATGTAACTCCTATTTCACTGCTTGTCTCATAAAACGTACATTCAGGTGAGTATGTGTTATTTCAAAGCAACAACTGAGTGCCTTTGATGCTTATCGTTGTCCACGGGTAATTAACCACAACAACACAGCACAGATAAACCAGCCGGGAAAGAAGGAATTGTGTGTGTTTACGTCTCTACGGCACACAGTGCCATAAGAAGACTTTACCCCTAGTCATGGTGCCACTGATACAGATAAGACTTCTTTCTGGGTGTAGTTTATGAGGAATCTGTGGAAAAGGAAGTGTATATATCCCGTGAATTTACCTGTGACAGTGTAGAGCGCAGTAATAGCTAATAGCGCAATAACAGCAACGTAGATATTGAGCCCAAGAGCCTGCTGGATGAAAATGGCACCAGAGAACATATCTGCCTGGGTGGAGATCATAAAAAAAAAGAGACATGTTACTTTAGTTAAAAGCATTTCAGAGTTTAACTAAAAGGGTCTTTTGCCACTATCACTTACAGAGATCTTAGTGAAGACGTACAGGATCAGGGAGAGGACAGAGAGGTAGATGCGAATGCGCTGACCACCGAACCTCTTCTTCAGGTACTCGGGCATGGTGACCACCTAAACACACATCTACTGATCAGATTTGACTTTTTGACCGTTCAAAATGCTGCTATGTGTATAAATGTGTGCTGTGTGAATTATTTACCCCAGCTTTGATGTAGATTGGCACAAAGAGCCATCCCAGTATGACAACAACAACAAGAGCCTAAAACAGAGAAATATAAAAACATCTCATTTCAAACAGTCATTATTTGCTGCCCTTCACAAGCAGAAACCATCATAATTTAGATTGTCAAAACACTTGCATAGATAAAATGTTCACATACTTTTGATTATATTTTTGATATGGAGATGAACATGATTACTCACATTCCATTCAAAACCACCTATGGCAATTCCTGAAGCAGCAGCTGTACCTGCAATCCCAACAAAGTGGCCACTGCCAATGTTACTGGCAAAGAGGGATGCTCCAATCTGTGGAGACCGCAGATGACTTTTTGTTGGCCTTTTAGCAATTCAACAACACTTCAAATACATAACAAAGGAAGAATTGCATGGTGAATTGCAGAGTAAAACTGATTGTGGCTTTATGGTAAGCCATAACAACAAAAAAACTTTTAGATAATTCACAAGGCTGATAAAGACCAATAAAACATGATGTTACGTAAATAGTTTCAATTATGATACACAGTGTCATATAGTATCTATAATGGAAAAGTAATCGCCAGCGTGATAAGCCTTCACATTATAGGAAAACCACTGGATAAGGAAGACAATCCTATTTTCAGTTGGTATCAAAGTTGTCTTATCCTGATGATAAAATACCCACCGGCCACCACACCATACTTCTTCCTGCGAGGAAGAACCCACCCACAGTGGAACGATTGGTACGAACCATAGCCTGTAAAAGGACAAGGTCACATTTTATTGTGCAAGTCAACACAAGCCTGCATCCAAATTATGATGGATTTCATTTGATCAATTTGTGGATTTAAGTTTGTACAAAACTCAAAAAACTTTGAGACTTTAACTTTTTATATACAGATGTATCTATTTCATAAGAAAAGCAGAGAGGGATACTGTGTTGATGCCCTTAAATCTCAATTTTACCTCCACGTAATGCTACACGTTAGCTCAGCTTCAGTAAACATTTTCTTTTACTGAATTTATGCTTTAAATTCAAGGGTTCAGTCTGTCCAGTCTATCACACAACCACACACACATTAATTCCTCCATTCCTAACTTAGAGTCACCAATTAACCCAGGATGAATGTTTTGGGATGGTGGGAGTATGCAGAGTACCCAGAGAGAACCCACACATGCACTGGGAGAACACGCACACTCCAAACCAAAAGGCCTCAGAGCATTTGAACCGGGAACCCTCTTGCTGTGGCGCTGCTGACCACACCACCGGGCACTCGTCCAGAAACCGGCTTTGATTTGTTTACTGCCACAAATTTTCAAGATCTGAAGTCATTTAATCTCACATCCAATAAACACAGTGTATAGATTTAAAATTCTTGATGAATTCCGAAGACAAATCTTAAAAGCAGACTTTTGATGGACAGAGTAACTCACCCATACTCCCACAGCCAAGACTACCAAAAAATAAATCACAATAACAGCGATGTCAGCCGGATTGTTGAGGGCCACAGTGTTGATTGTGCCATTTCTTGTAGTCCTTTGTAAAACGGAGAATCCAAAATAATCTCGAGACATTTTGGTAAGAGGGAGAGCAGCACAGGACAGCTGGAGGAGTCAGTCTGCTGTGACTGAAGGTCCCGCAAACACACCTTTATATCTTAGGTGTGCGTGCGCAGACGTGTGTGTGTGTTTGCACATGAGTGTGTTTCATATGTGATAGGGAGTGGTTCGGAGGGGGGGAAATAATATACGTCGAATAAAATTGTGTGTCTCGTTTTTAGAATTGTGTTTGGTGGTAGATAAATTCTGAATCCTGCTATCTATGAATGCGTCCATGTCAAAAGAAATGTCTAAATGTGTAACCTTTCAGCAAATTATGTTGTTAATTATAAACTTAAAAGGAAATACCAAGAGAAAAACAACTGTTCCTCTAACCCTTGTTTGTGTTCTTTGTAAATTATTTTTCCTGTTTATTACTCATCTACTGTAACAATTTAAAACAGGTGTTCCAGTTATCTCATTACAAGTTCACAGCAAAAATGAGAAATCATTCAATCCTGCCTGTACTTTTTCACATTTATCATTAGTGCAACTTTCTTTTCAGAAAGAGACATTTTACCTTCGTAAAAGAAAAAAGAACAAACTGGATGAGGTGGTTGGTGAAATATTTTATTGTCTTTAGAAATCAAGGAAATATGCCCAAACAAACATTACTTTCTGCTTGAATTGACAGTACATGAGGAGAAAAGCGTTTGCTTTTAATAACACTAATGTAACTGCACTTGCTGCATGTGTTGAATAGCTGTCCATTCCAGTACGTTAAAGTGTATTTGCAGGAGAACAGCGTTTGTTAATAGAAAAAAGACACGACATGTAAATTGCATCATAGTACGCAAATCATCAGGCTGACTTGCAGCATTCTTACACTCTTATATAAATACTGTCTGCTTGCATAAAGTAGTATAAAGTAGTTTTATTGAGTCAGCATCCCTAACAATCGCCTATTTTTCAATTTGTTTATCTCCCATTCATTTTACAGACTTCCTACTGGGCTGCAATTACATAAAATGTACGTGAGGGGAGGGGAAGGGGAGAGGGGTGCGATGTCATTATGTATTCTGTTAAATCCTCACAGAAAATCAATATAGGCAACCTTTAATTTGCAAAAAAATTAAAATAATTCCAGGAATTTGAAAACTACACATGGTGTGCATCTGTTTAAAGAGAGAAAAGATATACTGTGAAATTCAGTCTGCTTTAATGGACATTAACCCTCGAAAGATCACACATTTCATCATGTTACACTGGAAGATGGGTGTGGCCATTAAATTGCTGAGGCACCTCTCTGATGTTTGAAGAGTCATGGTAGATATTCAGATGTTTGCGGCAAACATTTATTACATAAAACATTCTAATCAATGATTGAACTTTGTGTATGATCACTAAGATTATACTTTTTTCATAATCATATGATGCAAAAATACCACTCAACCTGACCTTCACCCATGTATATTAACCATCAATTGTCCATGATAAACTCGTTTATCTGTATGTTAATGATTAGCTTATGGGTCCATGTTTATGGAGGGGGCAAAACTGAAAATGAGATAATAGGCATCTATAGCTTTTAATCAGTCAGAATAATCAATATTACAATATATCTATTAAGAATGACAGATTCACAGAAAAAATACTGAAATAAAAGAACATAGGAAAACATAAAGCTGGAGTCTCAGCTGGATGGGCTGCAACCTTTAACCTTTTTTCCCGGCTTTATGTAGCCAGCAGGTGTCTCTCCATGACAACAAAACTCACACATGAGCGGTGCCTTAAAACCTTATCGAACTACCTTTAAATCTTGGTTTTTACTATGTGACCTGCATAATTTCACAATCTGACCTGAAAAAAAAAATTGCTTTCCAGAAATCTTGACTGCAGTGTCACTGTTATTATGCCATTACCCGGATAGTTGATTCAAACTAAAACAACATATTTCATTCAATCATTCCCGATGTCAATACAAACCAAACTAAATAGATATTCTGCCCCTGTGAACCATATTTCTGCAAAAGCAGTATGCCTTGCTTGTGGTTTAATCAGCCTGTGTAACTAATGGAAATCTGTGTCTGAATGTCAGAGAAAACATTTAGAAAAACACTATAAAATATATATATTGTGAGTGGTTTGTACGTGTGGATTGCCAATTAAATAAAAAATGCACTTAATAAGTCTTGCTGACCCTACTTGAAACCCAGAATAAAACAACCACATAATCTAAATGTTAACTTATTTTCTTATTAAATCAAGCCACTCAAAAGGAATAGATATTATGATAAACTACGTATGTGTTATCATCTTTTAATGTCCCTTTGCTGATTTTATGGGGTATAGCCACTAAGATGATAATAAACAGGGATGAAGTGCACCAACCCTGGCAGGAAAAATGATCATTTCCTATAACAACATGTATAAATGCGTCTTTGGCTGTAGCTTACCAGGATTAAACACCAATATTAAACCATTTAAAGCAAGTCAGTAAATCAACCATACACACTTCCACTAGCTGAGTTAAAGTGGCCAGTTTATACCAGTGATTACATGTTCAAAATGTAAAATGTGCTTATTATTTCACACTGTAATTAAGAATAACTATGTACTGAGGTGAATTAGTTAACTAAGTAACGACTTAGGACTTAATAAGCAGTGATTGCTTCTTTGAAGTCTGTTGTATTTTTTTTTTATCATTTGCAACCAGTAATCTTACGGCAGAGTGTGTCGGAGACAATCATTTTCCTCTTGTGCATGCACAAAAGAATTTAAAACATGGGGCTCATTCCATTATCTCTAACTGGTTATGTGTCTGTGTATATGATATTACCTGATGGATTTCTGCTTGTAGTTTTATCTATTACTATAATGGTGACAGCTCTGTCCAAGGTTAACGTTATTTTACAGTCAGTGCCATGGGGATGTTGTCAGTCCATCACAGACCAGCCGGACAAAGTCACACTTACTCTTACAGCCAATTTAGTGGCCACAGTATCTAAAAAAAGCCCTACCAAGCACATGGAGAGCTCCACGCAAAAAAGTCCTCAACTGATATTTGAACTAGGAGTTTTTCCTTGCTGTGAAACAACAATGAAAAATCTGCCTTGATTTGATGATAGACAATTCCAACAAAACACCCTTTACTAAATTATGATTGCAAAATGTTACAATTCATTAAGACAGCTTGTTAGTTGATGAGAGGAAAACTATTTTCTGCTCCCATCATTCGTTTTTTAGTGGTTAAGATCTGTGTCAATAAAGACAAAAGAATCTAATGTAGTTTTTGAACATCTTATTCAACTATCACAGTGCTTGACCCATTGAAACCACAACCCTCCATTGAAACACATGAGTCATGGCTGTGTGGACAGGAGGCGATCGTAAAGGAGCCAGATGGGAGAGTTATCAGACTGGTGCTGTTACAAATGGCTGCTTGAAATCTCTTAAATGGGGACAATCGATATCACTTGAATGAGAATCAATTACTGGACTGAGGCCATGCTCTGTGAGGATTAAGGCTTGGTTACATTTGTTGAATTTAGCCCTTATGTCAAGCCAGAGAACAAGATTTGGCCATCCAGTGGGTCCTTGTGGAGAGAAAAAGTGTCATTGGCTTTGTTTAGAAAAATAGAAAATAGCAGACATCTGATTGTTTCACAGTTCTGGGGAGCCAACAAAAATTTTGTTGAGCGAGAAGTTGACAGTTTTTTTTCAGATATTTTGTTTTTTATATGACATGGGGAAAATACAGGGCTGCACCTTCAGATCAACACTGACATGTGTGTGTTTAGAACGCCGTTATCTGTCTAATGTTTGTTTGCACAGCGGTGTGGTGGTTAGCACTGTCGCCTCACAGCAAGGGGGTATCCGGTTTGATTTCCTGGGGGCCTTTCTGTTTGGAGATTGCGTATGTTTCCTTCCACACTCCAAAATCTCATTGGGCAAGAGGCCAGGGTACACCCTTGATGGGAAGAGAGAGTGCCCAGAAAGAACCCACACATACACAGAGGAGATCATCTAAACTCCGCACAGAAAGGCCCCCAGCCAGGATTAGGCTGAAGCTCTTTTGTGTTAATAAAAGATTGTATGTGAACATGATGCACACCATAAAGTGGAAAACTGTTTTGTGGAAAGACAAATATTTGAGCATCCTCCAAAGCTAAACGGAACGTCAAAGCTTTTCAACTTGAGAAATTATCTATAATAACTGCATGTCATCTTATTAACAGACTTCATTTGTTTCATAGTTTATTAGTAGAATTTTTGAAAATTCTGTCTAACCTTTTTTACCCAGTTCTGTTACTGATCTGCTGCCAGTTCACCTGATGAGCTGCGACATGTTCCTCCTGATGATTCTGTTTAGTACCTCTTAATTAATCAGCCCTTTGTTGTTCCTGTTATTAACCACTTAGGAAAAATTCCCTGTGAAATAGTCCCATTTATCACTTTCATCATTTGATTTGAGTTCCTTGTTTTGCTGTGAATGAAATATTGTAATATAACACACAACTGAATTGACAGTGAAACACAACTTGGTCACAGTTATAAAAATCAGGATATGAAATCATAAGCGTGATTGAGGAGACTGTGTTTTAACTAATGTTTGAACCGGTAAGTTAATGATAACACAATCAAGATTCACCTGTAACAGAACACAGGCCATCAACCTCGACTTTGATTTGTCAAAATTAAAGGGATTTTCCTGCCGAGTCAGCACAGCTGTAGATACACATGTAGATAAGATAAAACAGATTACCTTATTTTTATGGTATGTTACAGTTATGTAAACCGGAATTATATCAAAGCAAATATTAAAGGCCGGCCTCCATGTGGAGTTAGCATGTTCTCCATGTGTGGGCTCTCACTGATATAGGAAATACCTCCAATTGTTTGAAAATTCAGGTTTTGTTGATTTGTTATTCTAAATTGAGTTAGTGTGAATGTGTGTGGCTGTTTGTTACGTCGGTCTCCACGCTGACCTTGTGATAGACCACTCCACAGTATACCCAACTTTTTGCTCGATAGTTGCTAATGTCCAGCACCTGTGATCCTGAATTTAGAGAAGTGGGTGGAGACCA